ATTGTGCTGTACAGACCTACGCAGCATGCTGTGACAGTGCACTGCATTATTGAAACGGCTGAAGAAATGCAAATGTAGCCTAGTTTAGACTATGCACTTGCTTTGTGTACAGATGTGACGGCGAGGTATGGGCAACCTGACACACATGAGCATTAATAGCCATGTTTACCTGTACTTGTAGTTGACTGCCAAAAATGCTGTCGAGGCATCTGTACATCTTCTTTGTCGAATTGCATTATTAAAGTACATCAACATGAGATATCATATACATTCATATATATTTGTTGAGCACGAAACCTTGAAGTGTAGCCAGGGCATTTCCTCGAAACTATGGGCGGACATGTAGCTTCAATATCTTATAAATTATAGGTCAAGGTGTATTCAGTAAACAAAGATCTGAAGGGCTGTATTTCCTTCATCGAACACACACAGTTTGTGACGGATTACGGTTACGAACGAACTAGCCCTTGTTTGGCAGGTAGTTTTTGTTAAGATTTGTTATCTTGTTCTCTCTCTACCCTCTGCTTCCTTAATCACAATTTAAATCCTAAATAGACTTTCGGGCCTAACACTGTGGCAATTTTAGACCCTCTGTTTCTGTATTTACCTGAGCTCATTTCCCCTAAGGTTTACTCATCTCATAAGTCTAAGTCATCAATGATGTCAAAGCTGTCTGACATGTTTCTAATGAACAGTTTATGAAGCTAAACAATCTCCAAGTGACTTAAGCACAAAAATACGCGAACACTTCTGACAGAATTTCTTAAGAAAATACAGTAAAAATGCTTGACTTTGAGCTCCTTGTTTTCTTTAAATACGATGTACCGTGACATTATATAGTGTTATATAGGTAGATATAACACTAATCTATAGATGTAAACACATTTGAAGATACATCTGTGTGTTTAAAGTTGATTTTGACTGCCCGGGCCAAGTCGGACCAAACACAAGCCAAACACTTCTGATAGAGACTATGTTGAGAATGTAGAGGGAAAAGGGCTCACTTTGAGCGCCTTGTATTCTTTAAGTACAGCGATCTGAGACACTATAAAGTGGTATTTAGGTTGATATAATACTAATCTATAGATGTGAATCCATTTGAAGATACATCTGTGAGGTTTAAATTGATTTTAACAGCCCGGGCCAGGTCGGACCGAACATTTCTGACTTGGATTTTTTTAAGAAAATACAGTAAAAATGCTTCACTTTAACGGCGCAGATTTCTGTAAATGCGATACACCTGGACATTATAAAGTGGTGTATAGGTAGATATAATACTAATCTATAGCTGTAAACACATTTGAAGATACATCTGTGCGTTTAAAGTAGATTTTGACCGCCCGGGCCAAGTCGGACCCAACACAAGCCAAACACTTCTGATAGAGACTATGTTGAGAATGTAGAGGGAAAAGGTCTTCACTTTGAGCCCCTTGTTTTCCATAAATACTGCGATCTGTGACATTATAAATTGGTGTATAGGTAGATATCACACTAGTCTATAGATGTGAATCACATTTGAAGATACATCTGTGTGATTAAAGTTGATTTTAACAGCCCGGGCCAAGTCGGACCGAACACTTCTAACAGGGATTTTCTTAAGGAAATACAGTAAAAGAGCTTGACTTTAACGGCCCAGTTTTCTTTGAATGCGATATACTGTGACATTATAAAGTGGTATATAGTTAGATATAACACTAGTCTATAGATGTAATCACATTTGAAGATACATCTGTGCGTTTAAAGTAGAATTTGACCATCCGGGCCAAGTCAAACCCAACACAAGCCAAACACTTTTTATAGAGACTATGTTGAGAATGTAGAGGGAAAAGGGCTTCATTTTGAGCCCCTTGTTTTCTATAAATACTGCGATCTGGGACATTATAAAGTGGTATATAGGTAGATTTAATAGTAATCTATAGATTTAATCAAATTTGGAGATACATCTGTGTGTTTAAAGTTGATTTTGACCGCCCGGGCCAAGTCGGACCGAACACTTCTAACAGGGATTTTCTTAAGGAAATACAGTAAAAGAGCTTGACTTTAACGGCCCAGTTTTCTTTGAATGCGATATACTGTGACATTATAAAGTGGTATATAGTTAGATATAACACTAGTCTATAGATGTAAACACATTTGAAGATACATCTGTGCGTTTAAAGTAGATTTTGACCGCCCGGGCCAAGTCGAACCCAACACAAGCCAAACACTTTTTATAGAGACTATGTTGAGAATGTAGAGGGAAAAGGGCTTCACTTTGAGCCCCTTGTTTTCTATAAATACTGCGATCTGGGACATTATAAAGTGGTATATAGGTAGATTTAATAGTAATCTATAGATTTAATCACATTTGAAGATACATCTGTGTGATTAAGTTGATTTTAACAGCCCGGGCCAAGTCGGCCCGAACACTTCTAACAGGGATTTTCTTAAGAAAATACAGTAAAAGAGCTTGACTTTAACGGCCCAGTTTTCTTTGAATGCGATATACTGTGACATTATAAAGTGGTATATAGTTAGATATAACACTAGCCTATAGATGTAATCACATTTGAAGATACATCTGTGCGTTTAAAGTAGATTTTGACCGTCCGGGCCAAGTCGGACCCAACACAAGCCAAACACTTCTGATAGAGACTATGTTGAGAATGTAGAGGGAAAAGGGCTTCACTTTGAGCCCCTTGTTTTCTATAAATACTGCGATCTGTGACATTATAAATTGGTGTATAGGTAGATATAACACTAGTCTATAGATGTGAATCCATTTGAAGATACATCTGTGAGGTTTAAATAGATTTTAACAGCCCGGGCCAAGTCGGACCGAACATTTCTGACTTGGATTTTTTTAAGAAAATACAGTAAAAATGCTTCACTTTAACGGCGCAGATTTCTGTAAATGCGATACACCTGGACATTATAAAGTGGTGTATAGGTAGATATAATACTAATCTATAGCTGTAAACACATTTGAAGATACATCTGTGAGTTTAAAGTAGATTTTGACCGCCCGGGCCAAGTCGGACCCAACACAAGCCAAACACTTCTGATAGAGACTATGTTGAGAATGTAGTGGGAAAAGGGCTTCACTTTGAGCCCCTTGTTTTCTATAAATACTGCGATCTGGGACATTATAAAGTGGTATATAGGTAGATTTAATAGTAATCTATAGATTTAAACACATTTGAAGATACATCTGTGTGTTTAATGTTGATTTTGACCGCCCGGGCCAAGTCGGTCCGAACACTTCTAACAGGGATTTTCTTAAGGAAATACAGTAAAAGAGCTTGACTTTAACGGCCCAGTTTTCTTTGAATGCGATATACTGTGACATTATAAAGTGGTATATAGTTAGATATAACACTAGTCTATAGATGTAAACACATTTGAAGATACATCTGTGCGTTTAAAGTAGATTTTGACCGCCCGGGCCAAGTCGAACCCAACACAAGCCAAACACTTCTGATAGAGACTATGTTGAGAATGTAGAGGGAAAAGGGCTTCACTTTGAGCCCCTTGTTTTCTATAAATACTGCGATCTGGGACATTATAAATTGGTCTATAAGTAGATATAACACTAATCTTTAGATTTAATCACATTTGAAGATACATCTGTGTGATTAAGTTGATTTAAACAGCCCGGGCCAAGTCGGCCCGAACACTTCTAACAGGGATTTTCTTAAGGAAATACAGTAAAAGAGCTTGACTTTAACGGCCCAGTTTTCTTTGAATGCGATATACTGTGACATTATAAAGTGGTATATAGTTAGATATAACACTAGTCTATAGATGTAATCACATTTGAAGATACATCTGTGCGTTTAAAGTAGATTTTGACCGTCCGGGCCAAGTCGAACCCAACACAAGCCAAACACTTTTTATAGAGACTATGTTGAGAATGTAGAGGGAAAAGGGCTTCAATTTGAGCCCCTTGTTTTCTATAAATACTGCGATCTGGGACATTATAAAGTAGTATATAGGTAGATTTAATAGTAATCTATAGATGTAAACACATTTGAAGATACATCTGTGTGTTTAAAGTTGATTTTGACCGCCCGGGCCAAGTCGGACCGAACACTTCTAACAGGGATTTTCTTAAGGAAATACAGTAAAAGGGCTTGACTTTAACGGCCCAGTTTTCTTTGAATGCGATATACTGTGACATTATAAAGTGGTATATGGGTAGATTTAATAGTAATCTATAGATGTAAACACATTTGATGATACATTTGCGTGTTTAAAATGGATTTTGACCGCCCGGGCCAAGTCGGACCCAACACAAGCGAAACACTTCTGATGAAGACTATGTTGAGAATCTAGAGTGAAAAAGGCTTCATTTTGAGCTCTGTGTTTTCTTTAACTACTGAAATATGAGACAATAAAGTGGTAAATAATTAGATATAATACTAGTCTTTAGATATAAATAATGTTAGGAACTTTAGAAGTGCTTGGACAGTTATTAACACGTGTCGCGTCAGTCTTTTGACATTCGCGAATATCCACTTCCAGAAAACATCCTGTGTTGGTTTAACACGAATTAGAAAAGGTAAATTACCTTAACACGTTAATTAATGAAAGAAGAGTAGTCAAAACACTGTCGTTTCCTACCCAGGACATCACACCCCTACACGCTAAGGTCGGTGAGAAGCATTCCAATCAAAGAATACACACAGTCAAGACACTGACTTTTCTATGAGATTCACGGTATGTAGTCATAATCATCAGTTAATTACATTGTTGAAGGTGCATTTTTATTCAAACTCAATCAAATGAGCAAAACTATACGTTTGTGGACATTTGAGATCTGCCTAGATATGCGCGTTTCGTTTTATTATTCTGCAATCCATATTTAGTATTACCCGCTGGCCCGGCCCGGCCCGACTTTTCTTGGCCCGACTTTTAGGCAATCCCTTAAATATCGAAAAGGGGACGATTGGGTTACTGCAGTAAGTAAACATAACCATCTTTTTGTTAGTCAAAGTCGAAATTCACATTGCAGCGATATGTTGAAATTCTGAGAAATACACCATACACGTTTCATCTGAAACGAAAGTAGACCACGTGACCCCAACACGGATGTCGACATTGTTGGTTGTGATCAACAGCTTCAAGGTCTGTGTTCGTTGTTTGCTGAATATTGGTAAGTACGCAAACCTGTAGATAGAAACTATGTCGGTGTGTGTCTCATAGTACTGGGCTTCAGTTGGCGTTACTGTTTATTTATTTCAAGGCACAACATACCAGTACTCAGTTGGTATGACATGCAACAAGCTTAACAATGATACATTCTGTTGTCATATTACGCCTGATTAATATCCCTCTAAACTTCCGCATTCTTTCATTCTATAGACACGAATCTTGCTATTTTTGTTTTGACATAATTATTTCTATATATGTGCAGTAAACAATGTATTCATAGTATAATCAGTATGCTTGAGTTACCTCCCTTACACCGTCTCAGACAACTGAACTCGCCTGTCGTTACTGAAGACTGACTTTTCCGTTAACACCCAATGGTATCTGCTTCATTGCATAATCGGGTCTGTTTAACCTCTGGCGTTGTCGTTTTATATTTACTGAATACGACATTCAAGTTGAGTTCATTCGTGGGAATATATGCAGCGGAACTTAAAAAAACGTATGTTTCTCTTAGGGAATATTGAAATTTGTCTTCATAAAGTGTTCATAAAGTTTTACTTAAAGGGCAAGTTCACACGGAAATGAACCTAATTTTCTTATACTTTTTCCACAATAAAAGTATTAACCTAGAAGTGTAATAGACAAAAATATAAAAATATCACAATTAATAAACATATGTTTCGCATTAAAACGATTAATATTTTTCACATTTACCAAGTGTTCTATTTCGATAACAAAAACACCATGGCTTATGCCCCTTACAATATGACGTCATTGGTGCCAATTGATAAACATTATGACGTCATCATGCTTTGTTAGAGCCGCTTCACGTGGTGTAGGTACAGGTGTGTGATTCTAGCGTCTCAGATGCCAGCCAGCATAGTGTTATGCTGAGTCACCACTGCGCCGGAGTGTGTCGTAGGCCATGTTGTTTTACCGAAAACTTGTACTTGATATCTTTTGCGTTCAGAATAGACAGGGACCCAGTTGAATTGGCACCAATTACGTCATAATCTAAGGGGGGTAACTCAGGCCTGTTTAGGTCGAAAAACGAAGGCCTCATAACGGCATATCATTTTCACACTATTGTGAGCTTCCTACTTTCACTGTGAAAAAAATGAGTGTATATTTTCAAACACAGATACTAACTAATTCTATATTTGCGTTTTGTTTAGAAAAAGAAAGAAAGTGATTTTTGCGTGTACACTTTCCCTTTAAGCATGCATTTTACAGCATGGCTTGTGAAAGACTAAAATTCTTGAACTGTCTCAAGATAAAAAATATTGTAATAAAAACTGTTGGTCATAATTTGATATATCTTTAAATGTAGCTTCAATTTCTAAAATTATTAAAATAGATTGAACTCAGGAGTTAATATCTAACGATTTTATATATGTTCACATGTTTTGATGAGAAATAAAAGCGACAAAAAACATTTTCATAATCATTAAAAAATCTCTGCTAAAAAACAGAGCCCATTGTACATTTCGACTGTATCATGCGAATGTGTTTATGAATCACTATTGACTAGTGACGTTTCTAGGTGTTCGTGAAAAGGTGAGCGTTTACTGTCCCACCTGTCACAAACACATGTAAAGGCAAGTCAGTTGTTCTCATATGGTACGTCAAAATATGGAATTGCATCGGACATCATATTTGTCACTGAAACGTCAAAATTGAAATGTACTCTGCAAGTAGCTATGTGTACATGTTATCCCTTAGCAGTGGGGGCGGTCGGGTAGCTTAGTGGTTAAAGCGTTCGCTCGTCACGCCGAAAACCCGGGTTCGATTCCCGATATCTTTAGAATGTGGGAAGCCCATTTCCGGTGTGCCCCGCCGTGATATTGCTGGAATATTGCTAAAAGCAGCGTTAAGCCAAACTCACTCACTCACTGACTAACTCACCTTCAGCGGTGACTTTGGAACATTTGAGTTTATTTATCCCTGTTGTCTTAAAACTGTAGATGTTTAAAATAGGCTATTCTCGATAGGCTGTATTCAACATTAGGGATAATGTTTTCATTGACTGACTTTTAAAACGATCTTAAACTGAGAGTTCATGGCGAGTCATCAAAAGCATGTAGTGTATCAGATATTGGTCTAGTTGTCTAAACTTAATCTAGTTGACATACCAATTGTGAAAATTTAACATGAATATAGTAAATAAAATATGAATGACATAAGAAATACCAGGCCACGGTTCTTCGTTGTCCTTAAATTAGCTTGTATTATTATCTTAACAATTATTTATAACATGACAAGATGAGTGAAATGTAAGCACAATAACTAAGACTATTATATGTAAATTAGTTATAGTTACATATGAATAAAAACAGTTTTGAAATCGATGGATCTTTCAGTTACTGAAAAAAAATTATCACCTGATAGTATATAGCAAAATGAATATTAAACTGAATGGCTTTTTAAATGGTTAGACATAACACTAAATGGTAGACATGTTGTTGTCAACTGAGCCGTTTACGGAATGTAAACAAGCATCAAACAAGACCCCGTTTGTTTCATATATTTTATAAAAATGTGTTCCAAGGTATCAACAGGGATAGCTTGAGAAATTTTGTTTAAATTATAATTTCATTCCAGGGGAGGGTTTGCTTCGGTGGGGATATATAAATCCTATATCTGATTATAGTGTGAGATATAACATCTTCATATATGTCGGTTAGGCATTGTTCTTTCTCTTACATTCTAACTTGGTCAGGAACAATAATACTTAGGTATACAACGATTAGTCAGTGAGGTACATATCTTTAAAATTAATCTTTTTGAGTTTTCTATTTAGAACCTGCGGACAATTGTAAACAAACCCAAATTAGGTTGTAGATTTAACTTAGGTGAAAACACATTTTATATTATATTAAATACGTTTTCATACATTGTTTATGTATTTTACATCTTCTGTATCCTGTATGAACTGTAACGTCAACGCCAAAAAATAACCATCCTCGAGTATCTGTCGAAACGATTTAATTGGACCAGCGGAAAAGCGAGAATTCAGTAATGGTGAGTTCAGTTGTCCCACACAGTGTAAGGGAGGTAGCGGTGGAAATTATGTGAATGGATTACTGAAAATCAGTGATGACACCAGATGTTCGCAAAGCAAGTAACGTCTGCGACTAGAATGACCACTTGATCATGTTAATCAATTTCAAGAAATCTACATAAACATCACTGACAAATGTCATTACCTTTTCTTTCTCCTCCTTAGACTGTTCATCTTCGCCATCTTTTGGTGGAGGAATATTTCCATACAACTTCTCAAGTCTTGCCTTCTTCAGTGGTTGTGCGTTAAAGGGAAGTCCTGAGGGTGGGGGTGGCTGGGTCATCTCAACCAGAGCTGGGGGGATATAAATGGGGTGGGGCGGAATGGGCACCGCCTTACCCCACCCTAGCTTCATTTCGAAGCCCATCACTTCTCTTCCTGTGTTTAAATATTCCAAAGGCAAAGAGTGAAGAAATCGCATTGACAACAAGAATTAAAAATAAGTTAGGGTAATGGTTACATCTGTAAAGTAGAATGTATACGATGTAAACAGTTATCACACATATTTTTCAACCCACATAAACATGAAATTTATCAACTTCAGCAACAATGATGGCCAGTTGGTCCTATTTGAAATATTCGGGTTGTGTTCATATCAGAATGATCAAATTCAGTTTATCAACGGTATCAAATTGATCATACTGAAATAAGCATGCTGAAATGCTATAAAAATATTCTCAAAACTGAACTGTTAATCACAACTGATAAACAAAGAAAGTTTTCATCTGGAATAATCTTTTGTAACTGAAGGCAGATTTTGTTTGTTGTGTAACACCACATTCAGCAATATTCCGGCTGCATGACAGCTGTAAATAGTCAAGCCTGGACTAAATAATCCAGTGATCGATATTGTACGCAACGATCCACACCATCGGGGTACGTGGACATGCTATCAACCAAGTCATGGCCTGACCACCCAATCAATTGGTCACCTGTTATGGCTAACAAAGGTTGCTGGGGACATCTTCTAACTCGGAATGGGGGCACAACAACAGAAAATTGACACGGTAATCAATCCAGTATTCTAGATTATCCACTGTATGGTATCTCCTTTTCAATTTCATAAATACCCTGGACCCATTCGCAATCATCGTCAAATTTCGGGAGTGACTTCAATACCTCTATCACTCCTAATTTAGCACAGAAATTGATTAATTAAAGGATACTGTTATTTGAATCAGATTCGAAATGAAGCTATGGTAGTGACTGAGTTCGGGTGAACCCGATCATGAACCAATCAACTCAACTCGAAAGGGTGCACGGGAATCACGCACGAACGAATACGGTGTTAGTGTTGGGCGTCTCAACGTGCGTGATTTCAATGCACCCTTTTGAGTTGAGTTGATTTGTTCAACTGTGTCATATGGCCCTGTGACGCAGGGGTAGCATTATGCAGATGGCTGTTCCAATGAATGCTCGTTCCACCCATGACGAACAGGACGAACGTCGGTACCTTAAATTACCTTCCAGACTATAGTAGTAAAGCTGAAGTGATGCATCTGTTTACCATTGTGGGAAAGCACTGAGGGTATGTGGCCGACAAACCTTGGTTTCTGGCACACCCAAGGGAGGTGCTCAACAAATGTTTGACTGAAGAAACTGAATGTAGTATCTATACCTAGTATGTATCTTTCAATAACAAAAATTTTACATGATCATCGATTCTGATAATAAAACTCATTTTGAACATGCATCCATGTTATCTTACCTTTGGACATATGTTGCCCACATAGATGTTGGTTGTGTTCTCATCTCCCGGGTCAAATGATCCAATTCCCCCTGCTCGGTCTCCTGAATCAACAATCACAGTAGCGTACCTTTATATATATACCAACAAGAAATACTCGAAATATATGACCAAACGTTTTGTCTCAACTACTGGTCGAAAGCTTGAATCAAGGTTGATATTTAAGAATAGACTTCAATAATTTCTGCTTTTATGATGGTATTGACATAAAAAGGCGCAAGCACACTGTGTAAATATGTGTAGCAGATTTATACAAAGTTCATACATCGTTTTTTACGTTTATAACCCCATAAATGCAAACACATTTTGAAGTCAATTCTCATAAATAAGTATGTCAACAATAATAACTTCACAGACTGCTTATTAAAATCATTAACACAAATAGCTGTAGACAACAATGCAAAATCAGTGACATCGTTCATTGCAGTAATTTACCACAAGCCCAATGATCCATGATGTCGGTAAAGGACATGCTATTCTTATTAAAACAGAGCTTTGTTCTCGATGACACTAAACAAAAATCTGAGGACATACCATTACGGGTCACGTCAGAACAACCTTTTGTGAACTTTGTTAGACAAATGAAATGACTAACTAGCTTTATGGCGCTTGTTTCAAACTGGTGGCTTCCATTCCAGGCTAGGCTTTAGGAAAATATTGATTTAAACTTTGAAAACTTGACAAAAGAAAATCCTGGAATGTCTACTAGTCTGCCAATATTGTATAGCAGTACATTCCATGGGCTATGGCAAGTCTCTTCTATTTCAAATGGTTATCCCATTGAAGCAAGAGATAGATGTACAGCTTGTATCTTTTGTTTGTAATACCTTAATTTTTAACCTTTTAGAAGTTAGCATGATTAGAAAACACATTCCAACTGTCAGCTTCCCGATCCAGTAAGTGATGCTCTGGTTGGTCAAATAAAAGGTCGTTCTGATGTGACCCATAATGGGATGTCTTCAGATCTTTGATTAGTGGTAGCAAGAACTAAGATATGATTTTAACGAGATTGGAGGACACGCCTAGTTACCGAGTCTGACCACCCAATTCATTTGGTTGCCTCTTACGACCAGCATTGGTTAGAGACCTATTCTAACCCAAAATCCCCAGAGGGGTTTTGATGAATGGATTTAAGGCCAAGTTCTACACAGCGAGATGAAGTCTACCTACCTGGCCCACGTAGTGAAGCAGGTCCTATGTCCATGGGATCAAGAAAGGGGTAAAGTTTGGTGTCGATTTCTGGCAGATCAACACCTGAATCTCTCAACACTTTCTTTAGTTTGTGTCGCTCTTGTCTTTCTTCTTGAATCCTGCAAGTTGTGAAGTCAAGGTGAATTTTTATATTCAGTAGTTTCAACCAGTTAAACAATAGTGGTCCCTGTTCAACACAGCGTCAATTTCTCTTTAGCTATTGTAACTCCCACAGTTTACCATTGATTGCTGGCAGCACGAGGCTGGCTGTGAGGTAGTGAGACCTGGCTTCAAACATCAAACAACTTAACATATTTGCACAAGTTGACATTTTCATCAGCCTAAAACATGTGTTTTTTATCGAGGCTGTTTCCATGTTTTCGGCAGCATGCTCTAAGATTTATAATGACGTTTCTTATTTTTGTGGTTACGATCTTATTGTTTTATGTTGGGGATTCATTGTGAACTGTAGACAAGAAAAATCTTTATTGCAGACCGTCAGTTTTAGAAACCATTATCAACTTTCAAGTGTAATTGTTCTTTAAGTAAAAAAAACCTCAAAACAATCTTCTGGAGTAGACAAGAGTTGGGGTGAGCCAAGGTGAGGTAAATAGGGTTTAACGTCGCGTCCAAGATTCTTGCACTAAGGTGGTCACAAATGTGGTCAAGTAGATAAGACAACAGCATGGATTTAACATGTTTAATAAACAGCCATTTAGAATCTGATGATGATCAATGCAACGTCCTTCCTACAACTCACTGTTTCAATTCCTCCTTGAAGAGTTCCAGATTGCTTTTCTTCTTCTCATCTCCTCTTTTCTTTTTGTTAGAATTCTCTGAAACAAACGCAAAGATCAGAAGATGAAACTATACAGAAAACATGAGTGACCAAACGCCAGCTATATTTATTGTCCGACTTCAAATGGGCTTTGCAAATTGGACCAATGTGCGGAACGAAATTTTTTATCAAGGACGTAACATGCTTCTGTTCAAGTATGGTAGTACAATACCTGGCACACCCTGGCCAGGCCTCAGTTGACTTGAGTGAGTGAGTGAGTCGGGTTTAACGCCGCTTTTAACAGTATTCCAGTTATATTGCGGCGTGTCAGCTTAATGTGGGAGGAAAGCCCGAAGTGATGCAGGTCTCAGACGTTTACCTAGAAACATAATCGGGGCGAACCGGGATTCGAACCCACAATCATAGGTTTCTGGCGTGCCCAAGGGACGCAACTCTGCAGAGCGAATCGCGGCGCCTTAGTCGACTGGGCTACCGGTGCCCCCTCAGTTGACTTGAATGTAGGGACATGTTACAGGGAGTGCTAATGTACCGCCACCAGAGTCCTTGATCATCCAGTGTACTTTATATCTTGTATATACACTGTATTGTGATCACTACCCCGTGCATAGTAACCTACACGACATGATCACATGACTACCCATTCCACATCATTCGCTTTCTTTGATCTGACAGGCTAGAGGAGCTGTTATGCAGGGATGGTCGGTAGGGCATATAGTATGTGAGTCTATAAATATACAATTTAATGTGACATTTATAAATTTTAAACTTATCCTATCTCACACTCTGCATTTATCCCACGGTTGGACAGTGGGATGCAGATACACCAGCCTGTAGAGACAGTGAGATGTACACAAGGAGGCTGGTGCAAATGAAATAATCTATAACACTGTCTAGTGTCATAAATAGAACTACAGTAGAACATGGATATAACGAACTTCAAGTGACCGGAGAAATCAGTTTGTTATATACATTATTCCTTATAGGAAGACATGCAGTGTGAGTTAAGAGTGAGTTTTAAGCATTTTGGTGCTTAAGCATGCACAGATTCAGCTAACAGACTACAAATTACCGGTTTATCATCTTCTTTCCTTGTCAACTTCACAGACTGGAATGTTGCAGCTAGCTCGGCTAGCTTGGATGTGGGCTTATACAGACGGTTTTTGTCAGGTCTGGAGTCTCCTGGAAATACACAATATAACCAAAGTTCAAGAAACACTCACAATGCCAACCAGTTTATGTTATTCTTCAATGTACTCTGAATACAGGGGTGAAAGACATCAGCATGAATGCAAATGAAGGTATGCCGCAGTCAGCAAATATATTCAAGCAACATAATCATGATAATGGATGCCTTTAAACATTGGTTAATGATCAAGCCTGGATTTAGCAAATAATAAAGCTGACTATCGCCCGAGATCTTGTGATATGATACGTATCATGGTATGGATAAATGATACCACTGGTATCATGAAACACCACAACAAATAGTAAGAGATAATAAAATGACAGAAATACAACTATAAAACATTTTGCTTGAGACATATATTTATTATTGTAAAAAAAATATAATTACTGATAACAACAATCTGCATACAACCTTTTTTTCTGTTTTGAGGACTTTTCAAACCCAAATTTGGCTCGAACTGAAGACCTAAATACAGCAGGTGCATTCACTATTACCATCATGTCCTTGTGTTCCATCATGCTTACAGGTGGCGCTATGCTACTTCCGTGATACTCCATCAATTGATGTTCTATTCACAGCGTATCGCGATCTAACCAACGGTGTGTTCCCAAGTATCGATGATAGCATAGGAATCAGTGAATCGTTACAGGGCTCCTTGAATCTTGACCTTTTGACATTAGGGCTATAACAAGTACCCTAGGGCTTCCGTGCTTTTTTACGAAAAGTGTTGATGATTTCTCAAAACACAGAATGACATGTAATTAGCCTAAATGACTGGAGAATATATTTACCCGAGTTGTTTCTTTGAGTTCTTGGGTTGCCACTAAAAGGTCTGTCAGCATTGACAGTTTCTCCCTTGACCCACATCTTCGTGCCTGCATGTTTATGTGCTTCATCAAAGGAAGCAACAAACTCCTCATATACCTGTGCTGTGGCTTCTGCATCTTGCTGCAAGCAGTTAGATTTAGTATGTAAACATTAGGGCTGCAATGAATACACTATGAGGCAAATACGATTTGTATCATGAATATAGGGTAACGAATACGAAGATTAATTCACGAATACAATAACAAGTCAGCAGTTGATGTATTATTTGTTATATTCTGTGAAAAAATAACAGCATATATAATTTGACATTGTTTGTTAATCATCAAAGTATTTAACATTTATATACATCACTTATCCAGGTACTAGTATCTGCTCAAATGCGACATTGACCGGTGACCACAATACTAAATATTACTATACTATATATCATGATATATAAGAGTGTTGTCTTTGAAGAAATCTATGCATATAATATGTTGTTATGGATATTTTTAGGTACAGGGTATGTAAATGCACATGATTGCATATTCATAAATATTCGATTTTAGTGGCCACGAATAACAAATTCACTACTTGAAAGGATACGGTTCGATTCACCAAATACACGAGTGCCGCATAACAGCCCTAGTAAACATCAGTTGTTTCTGCAGTTTTCTTCATCTTACACTTTCCATAAGTACCTGGTATAGTGTACTAGAAAACACTAATATCACCTTGTGTAGAACTTACTAAAGAATCTAGCTCTCTGATTGGCTAGTCACTGTCAATAGCAGGGTGTACTGTCTTTTCACGAAATGAACGTTGGTGTACATGCCTTGACCTTTAATCTTGTGTGATAAACATGGCCATTCGGCTTGCAAAATCCCAAATACTTCGCTGTTCATGCTTGTGACATGTGTAACTCATATTCTGCCCTTGAATAAAGGGTACAAGGTGCTGTCTCTACCATGTCTATATGATCATGATCAAGACATACCAAATAACATTACAATAACTTTCTCACTCAGACCCAACAAAGTAGCATTTTCATAATCTGAAACTATAAAATAGAAAACAACGTACAAAGAAAACACCATTCTACGAAAATTTTAATATTGTCATTACCTTTTTCCTCATTTCATCTATTTCCTTTTTTGACAGGGATTGTTTTCCAAGGTTCATAGTCCCCACCTCGAAAGCTTTCAACTTGCTCTCGGAGATGGTCTGAAAATTAGAACAGCATTACAACAACAAAGATCAAATATTGACGTGAGTGAGCATGTCAGCTTCATGTTGGAGTGAGTGTGTACGGTTTTACGCTGCTTTTAGCAATATTCCAGCAATATCACGGCTGGGGTCACCCAAAATGGGCTTCACACATTGTACCCATGTCGGGAATTGAACCAAGGTCTTCGAGCGAATGCTTTAACCTCTAGGCTACCTGACCGCTCTGCTTTAAACCCTGGCCCACCTTTAGCATACAGTACCACAAACTTTTCAATATGTGACAATACCCTATGACGTAATTTGTAGTATTTTGTTGCAAGTCACACCGGCAAAACAATGCCCTGTGACGTCAGGGGTCATCGAGTGTGCATAAGCTCCTCCCAGTGATCTATCATCAAGTCATTGAATACGCCCAGCGGTGTTGAGAGTTTTGAATATTTGTTTACCAAATATAGACTGCGGCTGCACATTTTATAGCAAGCGCTAGTGTACGAAAGCACTTTTATCATGTTTATTTTTTATATATTTTTTTTCCGTTTTTCTCATAATTCAAGTTGCTAAAATTGTCACAAATGGGAACTTATATACATATATTATTTTTTCGGTTCATTAATTTTCATTATCATGCACAAGAATGCATTTTCAGTTTACATAGAAAGACCATGTTAAAATATTGGCGCTGAACACATCCAAATGTTGCCAGTGTTGGGATAGGTATTCCGAACTCTATCCTTAGCCCTTGGATCCCATAACAATCAATCACCCTTTTACGATCATTAGGGTTAGGTACCGGTTTAGTGGCTATTAAATTACCCCTAACTCTATCCTTAGCCCTTGGATCCCCTTTACGATCAATCATCCCCTTGCGATCATTAGCGGCTCCTAATATTCTTCACACAAAAACGTTGAGTAAAAAGGATGAAATGGTTTTGTGTCAAATAATTTAGCTACTGGAAACTGTCCTGGACCATTCACACAAGCCACTTTAACTGGCTACATTTTTTCAGTACTGATTCAAAAGTGAACTCACAGTTGTGTCGTCACAAGCCATGCCCATGCCTCCCTCATTCCTTACTAATATCAACATCATCCTTACAGTGTTCCCTACCAGACTTTTCTGCCACAAAATCCAGCTGTCGAATTATTAAATACCATGCGTCTCCGCGAGTTCGACGTCTGACGCCTGGAGCCGTATTCAGGTCGCGCCTTTCGCTCATTCCTCACCACTCGGTATCTTGTAAATTACGGAATGGGACGAGTGTGCCAAATGGCATCGGGATCATTCTTAAGTGTCCGTAGACTTAAGTCAAGAGACACCATGGCTACCCGTAATCTTCGTAAGTGTCTGTCACCTATTCTACCCTTTTCGTTCAGTTTCGTAACGTCGTAGGCATGACAAGGTAAATTTGCACTTTGTTCCACAGTGTGGACGTTGTTCAGTCGGTTAGCTGTCGGGCTAACAATCCAAAGGTCGCGAGTGCGCGTCCGACGGATTCTCACAAAAACTGATTGCTTGTCTTTGAGACATGTGACCTACGGCAGAGATCGTCCTCACGAGAAGTTGTGATACTGTATTCCAAAGGTGCTCCCCATTTCCCAGCAAATCAAGACCTACAGAATCCTGTAACACGCTTACTGATTTTGCTGATATAGTTACAGTCTTATAAAATGCACTTGGTATATCATTAAGCTACCATAGAGTTCTAACACACCTAGCCTACTCACCTAAATTTCGTTTGTAAATAGCACATGCTAACTGGATTTTATTGCAAGTTTTACTTTTAGGTATACTGAAGTCCTTCTGGGAATATAAGATATCTCAAAATGTTGACTGTAATAACATATTATCTATTATCTTATTGTTTTAGAAATGTGAATATAATGAGCTTTACCTATGTTCGATTAAACACTACCTAGAGAAAATACTGGGTCACCACGATATGAGTGTCAGTAAACAACGTGACCCAGTGTAGGCCATATCATGTTATCTCTTGACACGTGAAACTGCGGTATAATTGCAGTTCAACCATCATCACATTGAAGGAACAAGCTATCATCTTCCTTGAAAACAATGTGAAATTGTGTAATTACTCATACCTTTGCAGAACCAGGGGCTAAACGGCTCCCTTTCAGGCCCCATGGTAATTTGTTCGCCATTTTGTCTAGCGTTCGTACGGATATTGCCGAATGGTACCGGAAAATCACGAATAGTTTCAAAGGGCGATAATCAAATGACCGCTGACAATGCATACCACTAAAATCCGAAAGATATTTTTAACTGTAGCTTCTATTTAAGTCCATTGCTGAGCTCTTATTGTTGAGTGAAGTAACTTGATAAAATAAACATTGTTTCTGTTCAAACGAGAAAATAATACGAGACAAAAGAAGCATTTCAGCGTTTGCTTTTATTTTATATCAATAGTTCAGCTATATGACGGCAGCTTTATGCAGCTTTAGTAATATATGGTTATGTTCCCGGGACACCATCCATTCACTCAATGAGAACATTCAGGAAATCCGGTGACTACAGTATTCAAACGTCAATGACTCTCATGCAGTGATACTGAACTTGACCGATATCGGGTGGTCAGGGTCGGCGACATTCGTGACCAACTCGTGTTATTCCGGGACAAGCCGAATAGCGAAAGGGGCGAGTTGTGACGAATGGGTCGGCGACAGAACGAAGGTCGTGGTACCCCGATGGCGCGCCACCTTGCTCATAACAGCAGCCAATGCTATTTTCTTGTCCTGATTGCCGCATTCAAATGTCGATTTCACACATCCTCAATATTACCACGGACCTATATAACAAGTCCGTGGTATTACTGACTGTGGCGTTGAATAACAATCGTGTTCACAAAAAAACAAAAGTTTTTTTCATGTTGGCCTTCCCGTAGGTCTGTACTCAACGCCGGTCCCAAGAGCCCAATAACGAGGCAGTGAGTGAAGATTTAACGTAACATTGTTTCGGTCATATAATAACGACCGACCAATGATTGATTGATCGTTGTTTAACGCGGCACTCAGCAATATTCCAGCGAATATAAACCTATCCTGCACCGATGACCCAAGAACAAGGGTAACTGGGCTAGCTTGTTCATGTTCATGAAAATATATAGCGAAATAAAAAAGGTTTTAAGATGTATATATACAAAATAATACGTACAAAATAGCCATGTTCCATATCCAAACTACAATCAATTTTCTTACAGGTATGTAAAAAGCATATGCATTCATCTTACCTCGACACTCGTCCCCTCCTCCTCAATCACCCCCAACCCCTACACAGTGACACATGACTTACCAAGTCTATAATGTTTGGCAAGTCTAGATTACTGCAGTATCAGGAAGAAAGTATCTGGGCTCCTTTTTAATATATTTAACTTTAATTTAACAACTGTTATTTTGTTATTTCTGTATGATATGTTCATTTTAGAGACTAGATATCTTACATCGCTTTAAGCATTATTTTGGCAAATTGCGGCATCGACTCATCATTATGAAGATAATATCGAAACACTAATTTTAAGCCACTATATCCTAAATGGTATATACTTTTTGTTTGTTGTTTTTTATTTAACGCCACATTCAGCAATATTCCAGCTACATGACGGCGGTCTGTAAGTAATCGAGTCTTGACCAGACAGTCATGGGATTGACATCATGAGCATCGATCTATCCGCATTTGGGATACGATGACAAGCATCAACCAAGTCAGCGAGCCTGACCACTCGATCCCGTTAGTCGCCTCTTTACGACAAGCATAGTCGCCTTTTACGGCAAGCCTGGGTTGCTGAAGACCTATTCTATCCCGGATCTTCAAGTGTAGTGTATATAATTCCTATAATCTACAGATTAGTCAGGCCACAGCTTCAAAGTTTTTTGCGCGCTGATATAATTACTAATCACAATTAGTAAATTCATTAGTAAGTTAAGTTGTCTTATTGAAAGATGCGTGGGCCAACTAGTTAGTTTTCTCCTTTCAATGATGTTTTAATTGAATGTGTAAATCAATACGTATTGTGTCCAATGAATACAAATATGACATTAACTTTAAAATAAGACCTTACTGAACATGTATGAAAAAGCTACAGATTAACGACTGTCGTAAGTCTACCTTAAAGTATGGGAGTTACGATCGTCTTAGGTCGCTTTGTGAAACTGAGGCCAGAACAGAGCAGTGCTGCGACAGCCCGGGTGAGAGATGTCCTGTTCCTAGAATTAGTATTATTGAATAGCTCTGTGTAATAATTTTCATTCCTTATTTCAATTTTTCTTTGGGTAATATCCTTTATTTTTTTCTGTCCATTCTGTATCGAGTATTTTGATACCAATAAGAAGATTTGTAAAAACAATATTTTTACAGTTTGAAACTATCTTTACGTCCAAATATTATGGGGTTTTTTGCGTCCTTTGTGGCTCCCCGATTGTCTTCTCGTTTATCTGAATCGGAAAGTTTGAATTGACAGGCGAACACGCTAATAAAGTGGGATTTTAACATTGTGACAATTTGTGTCGTATGAAAGCACACTAAAACTTGGCAAACACGTCACACAAATGAACATTTAATGCACAATCAATGTGCTTTGAAAATAAAACTATTTGACATTTTTGTCAATTGCAAATTTGACATTTTCTGAAAATTACCCTTGTAATATTCTGATTTGTCTTCGTCATAGAATCACCATCGAGATACACAAAAGCCATTATCACGGGAATCTTAGTCTTGGCATTATTACAACTTTAAAAAATATTGTTTTGAAATCTTATTTCTATTTCTAACAGAACCAAAGTTTTTTACATAGGAAATTTTCTTTACAAGACTTAGTATTAAACATTTGGATTAAGTCTTGTAGATTAAGCAGAAATCATAGTTATTTCTTTAGGTTCTTTTCTCAAACTCAGTGCGCGTATTTTGAACAAATGGATACTATGTGCATATTTACAAATAAGCCCCCACTTTCCAACGTGCAGAAACATGACTTTGGACGTAATTAATGTCACACAATGAGGTTACAATGTCCTGAAATGAAATTCCTTTGGTAAACAAATTTTAACAAACAAGAGTCTGAGGAGCAAACAGTGGAATCACTGGATTGTTTATGTTTTATGGCCCCATAAAAAAATTCCTCTTTCTGCAATATTTTTTTTTTCACAATTTGTACATTTATTTTCAACATCTACACAGGGTTCGTAATTCCTTGTAATTTTGTGTCAGTGGCACTATTAAAATGACGTTCCCGGTGCACGCTTGGAAATCCTATTTTTTACAATACCTTGAGACTTCTTTTGTCCTTTGAATCCAAAGAGAAACATGACAAACATGCGGGACATGATGAACGTATGAATGCACTAACTGCACAGAAGAACCACTACATATATTTGGGTAGAACTACTACATATATTTGGGTATTCGACCCGTGAAGATTCCGGGGTAGAATAGGTCTACAGCAACCCATGCCTGCCGTCAAAGGCGACAATGCTTGTCGTAAAAGGCGACTAACGGGATCGGGTGGTCAGGCTCGCTGACTTGGTTGATGCATGTCATCGATCCCAAATGCGTGGATTGATGCTCATGATATCAATCACTGGATTGTCTGGGCCAGACTCGATTATTTACAGACCGCCGTCATATAGCTGGAATATTGCTGAGTGCGGCGTTAAACAACAAACCAACCAACTGTTTGGGTATTCGGAAATGATAAAGGGCAATGTTAATCTTAATGTAAGGGATTGGGTAAAACTTATAAACTTAGTTTCGCTGAGATAAAAACTATTCTGCTAGTTTGCACACTTTAATTAAAGGGAGCACACTTAAACATCTTCATGATTGCCCTGGGCACACTTAAAAAAAACCCGTTTCTATCACTGTACAACATGAACCAAGCCTTCCTATTCCATAATTACTTCCCTGTGACGATCGCAAACTCTGTGTTTTCCTAGTTGAGCCCACTCAGCCACACATTGTCAACAAAACTGATACAGAGAAACAGAAATTCCATAAGGGCAGGGTTAAGCTTGTTGCATTGTAGATATCATTTGGCATGGAAAATGTCATTATATATATATATAATCATAATTACAAATGGTGTGTAAATATGTTTGTACTGATGAGTCCTGTCTGATTAACACTGACATGCATGTCCAGTTACTGGAGGAGATCGGTATATAGATAGATAGATATAGATACGTATAAGGAAAGAAAATGGGCGAAAAGATTAGAAGTGTTCATTGAAGGTTTTTTACAATATCGACTGAAACATATATCATATATTTCCGTGGTAACAGGAGAAACATTCAGGTGTGATTTGCTCAAAACGTTATATTCCAATAAATGTGCCTTGAACTATATTTTGCTTTTTTGTCATTAGAAAATCATAGCATGACCATGTCAAGTTGCCACACAGAAGCCATGCGTCAATAGCGTCATTATCACTGAAATCTTTTTTATAAATAATATAAATGTTCAGTGATTCCGTTAGTCCCCCTTCAGGGTGGTGCTGTACAGTATGTCCCATGTACTCCATGCAGTGCATGTTTGTCCCCCTTCAGGATGCTGCTGCAGAGTATGTCCCATGTACTCCATGCGGTGCATGTTTGTCCCCCTTCAGGATGCTGCTGCAGAGTATGTCCCCTGTACTCCATGCGGTGCATGTTTGTCCTGCTTCAGTATGCTGCTGCAGAGTATGTCCCATGTACTCCATGCAGTGCATGTTTGTCCCCCTTCAGGATGCTGCTGTAGAGTATGTCCCATGTACTCCATGCAGTGCATGTTTGTTCCCCTACAGGTTCCTGCTGCAGAGTATGTCCCCTGTACTCCATGCGGTGCATGTTTGCCCCCCTACAGGATGCTGCTGCAGAGTATGTCACCTGTACTCCATGCAGTGCATGTTTGTCCCCCTTCAGGATGCTGCTGCAGAGTATGTCCCCTGTACTCCATGCAGTGCATGTTTGTCCCCCTACAGGTCCCTGCTGCAGAGTATGTCCCATGTACTCTATGCGGTGCATGTTTGTCCCCCTTCAGGATGCTGCTGCAGAGTATGTCCCCTGTACTCCATGCGGTGCATGTTTGTCCCCCTTCAGGATGCTGCTGCAGAGTATGTCCCCTGTACTCCATGCGGTGCATGTTTGTCCCCCTTCAGGATGCTGCTGCAGAGTATGCCCCCTGTACTCCATGCAGTGCATGTTTGTCCCCCTTCAGGATGCTGCTGTAGAGTATGTCCCCTGTACTCCATGCAGTGCATGTTTGTCCTGCTTCAGTATACCGCTGCAGAGCATGTCCCCTGTACTCCATGCAGTGCATGTGTGTTCCCCTACAGGATGCTGCTGCAGACGATACCCCCTGTACTCCATGCAGTGCATGTGTGTTCCCCTACAGGATGCTGCTGCAGAGCATGTCCGGAAATGGATACAAGTAGTTGTTCGGGAGAGAAATCTGTCTAAGTTTCATGAGGGGTTTCTGATAGAGCCTATATAAAAAAGAGTGAGTAAGTGAATGAGCAATATAAAACTGTCTCTCATACAGACCCTGAAAAAAAGTATCCGATTTGTCCCAAGCAAGTCTACTATATCCATACTTAAGGCTATATATCTTCAGTTTATATTTATTTCTATATAAACGACCCCCTCCCAAAAAAAACCAACAACAACAAACAAACAAAAAACAAAACAAACAAAAAAATCAGAAACTTCTGTCATTTAATGTGTTCTTGATTCTTCACACCTGCAAAAGTAAGTTTAGTCTATTAACCATTCTCACAGATTGGTGAGTACCACAGATTGATTTGTCGGTACGGTATGAACTAAGAAAATGAGTCACATTAACGTATCAAAGTTTATACGTTCAATTACAAATTCAATATGTTTTTCTTTGCTTTTTTCCCCCTTTTTCTATTAACAGGTTCGTTTGACAATGATACATTTGGTATTCATTATTTACTTTACGCAAAACTTCATTGTTCACTTGATAAGGATTCTGTGGATGCTTCAGTTGTGATGTGTAATAAGGAATATACATTCTCTCGTGAAGAAGGGCTTAAAAACACATGACATTGAACTGTGCCTTGTGCTCATCCGGAAAAACCCGAGATTACACGAGTACCTACTACCGTAAAGTGATTCGCGGTCCACTTTACAACATCCAACCGTTTAGACATAAAACACATTCTTGGGAAGATCTTAACTGTTTGTTATTTTAAAATGAATGTTTCTTGATGGAAATTGGTAGGAGCAAGTTAAATAACATAGTGTCCCGAAATAAGTTGTCGTAATCATATCCGGTACGAGGTTAGAAACCGGTGCGCAACGTGCGAGCGGAACGCCGTCATTTTCAAAGTCAAGTAAGATACGAATGTCAATATTCACAGCGCTTGTAATGGATGTTTGTCTAAGCGCGCACGAGGAGAATATGTTTTGTGTTTAATATCATCAATAAGATTTTGCTCTTTCAGACGTCTTATTCAGAACACAGTGAAGCCATACACGCTGGTTAAGGGCCTCATTCGTAGAAAACCGTTTGTGATCAAGAAAAATGGCGGAAAATTAAATGCGCCGCATCCTCACATGTTCTGAAGAAAAAGGTTGGAGGTGAAAAGCTTGAGACCATGTTTCGAACGAAACAAGACGTCGATAGGCATGCTGCGAGTGTACTGGGAAGACTCAAGAATGAAAAAGAGGTGAGAAAGAGAAAAAGTTGTGTCATCAAGTCTGTCTCGTCAAGAGCACACTCTCTCGAGTCTTAGATTCCAGTAGGCCTACTTTCGATATAGCGAAAATAGATTTGGATTATGATATACGTTATTTGAATGTGTAATGCTGTTGTGTATCATCAACAACATTATTACAATTCTAAAGACGAATTCAATTGCCGATGGTGAAAGACGAGAGATTTTGTTTTGTCTGTATTGAAGATGCTGCAGTTCAGCATGTTCAGGAATCAGTAAGAACTTTTAGAGGTGGTTGGTAGCACAGGTCCTCGAAGCAGGATAGTAACATCCTTGAAACACCGGACCCATATATCCCCGCCTTATGGGTTTTCGGACGCTTAAGAAAAGTCATAGTTTTCTCTCTAATAGATGGAACAACTCTTAACAAATCTCATTCACTTCTAAAAGACAACTTCTAAAAGACCAACATAATTTACATGTGTGCAATGTCAATAAATAAATACCTAATAAACTGCTTTCCTGTGGATAATAATAAAAAAATATTTAGGAAATTGTCATCACTTACTTGATAACAGTGTTAGAACCTACACCGAAGCGTCACTCATAATTGTAATAAAGAAGTTGTTCATCCATATATCTATCCTTACTTAGAATGCTTAGTACTCCAACTTCTAAATGCCTCTCAAAGAAGAAAATAATAAAAGATGATGAAGTGAAAAACTAAGATATGCACATAAGTTCCCATTTACAATCCATTCATCCACATGAGATAGAGTTGAAACCGAAAAGAAATATATATTGAAAATATAAATACCTTCATAAACTGGGGCCTGCTATAAAATGAATCTATATTTAGCAAACAAATATATAAAAAAACAACTCTAAATGACACAGGTCTTATTCATTGACATGACCAGTAGAGATGAAAGATACTTGAGAGGAGCTTATGCACTCTAGATGACCCCTGATGTCACAGGACATTGTTTCGCTGGTGAATCTGGCAACTCAGTTTCACAAATTATGTCATAGGGTATTGTGACATGTTTGAAAAGTTTGTGGTACTGTATTCTAAACATGCTAGAGGTAGGCCATATATTATTAAGTTATTTTCACATCTTCTTTGAAATGCTGACACATTCTTTTTCGTTACTACACATCTGTTCCCATTATTATGTGTAGTTTGCTATTCCTTGGACTTCATGTTCCTTGGGCCCCTCACCATGCTCACTGTTGTGTTCACAGAATCCTCTGACGTTTTTCAGCAATATGTTATTAGTTTTTGTGAAATCAGGTCAGCTGGCTAACACATGATGCTTGTGTGGAACCTGGCACTTGGGGCATCATAGTTCCTGTTATTAATGGACCGCCTCCGTGGTCTTGTGGTAGAGCGTCCGCCCGGAGAGCAGAAGGTCCAGGGTTCGATCCCCGGCCGTGTCAAATCAAAAGACGTTAAAAGATGGTACTTGTTGTTACCCTGTCTGGTGCTCGGCATTAAGGGGTTAAAACAGGGACTGGTCGGCTCGGAGTCAGTATACTGTGTCTGAGTGGGGTATTCATGTTAAACTGCTGCGTGGTATCTCAGTGTGCTAGCACTATAAATCGGCATCAGTCCGGAGTAGTACAAGCAGCCACACATACACACGTGCATGCACGTCGCTATGTAAGTGCAATAATCTTGGAAGCGACGTTAAACCCCATTTCACCTCACCACCATTCTCAATTCTGTCCATTTAGGTAATACCCAACAGTTCGATTTAACACCTTTTATCTTTTTCTGCAGTTATCACGTTGTGCTGAAATTTATATCAGCAGTGCTAGGATGTGGATTGATAATGGTGTGATCAATGTTCCTGTTGTTTGTTAACAGAAAAACTCCAGAGGCTACCAGATAGCGAGGCTGTATTTTGACGTGTCCGAGTATGAAGTTGCTAAAAGGTAATATGAAATGAAAGGATAATAGCATTAGCAAATTATCCCTGCCCATAATCATTTGTTAATGAATATGATTTTGATATAATAAGTGACAATATTGCATAAGAGTAAATGCAGTGTCTGGTCCTGTTGGAATTCAGGGTTAGAATAAGTCCCCAGCACCATATGTCTGTTGTAGTAGGTGACTTGATGAATTGTGTGGTCAGGCTTGATTCCTTGTTGATTGCATGTAATCATCATATATTTGTTTGTTTGTTGTTAAACGCTGAACTCAGCAGTATTCCAGCTAAATGATGGTGGCCTGTAAAATATTCGAGTCTGGTCCAGACAATCCAGTCAGTGATTACATCATGAGCATCGATCCACGCAATTGGGATCAATGACATGTATCAACCAAGTCAGCAAGTCTGACCACCAGATCCCGTAAATCACCTTTTACGACAGCATAGTCGCCTTTTACGGCAAGTGTGGGTTGCTGAAGACCTATTCTACCCCGGAATCTTCACGGGTGAATCATTATATATACCTGTATGGGGATTCCAGGAAACAATAGACCCCACATATCAGGTTGCTTATTCAAGGTCATTAATATTTTTTTTAGCATAATTTGGGTAAGAATGTCACTTTTGTGATTGTTCTACAAATGGCATGGTGATATCTTCATCGTTTTTTTTCCAACTATTCTTCGGAGATTGTATGATTGTCATTTTGGATGATGATAAGAATTGGGTTAGAAAATGAGTGGATTTGAAACCCTAGTCCATCCATGTGCTTTAGTGTTGTTGACTTCATATGTTCTGTGGGCGGTCGGGTAGCCTAGTGGTTAAAGCGTTCGCTCGTCACGCCGAAGACCCGGGTTCGAATCCCGACATGGGTACAATGTGTGAAGCCCATTTGTGGTGTCCCCCGCCATGATATTGCTGGAATATTGCTAAAAGCGGCGTAAAACCAAACCCACTCATTCACTCGTATGTTCTGTTGCTCCCCTCCAGGTACCTGACCTCGTTCCTGAGTGTGAGAGAGACGGTGCCCCAGGCACACAAGCTCATGGGGCACATCTTCTTAAAGACAAATGAAAAGGAAAAGGCTCTGGCATGTTACAAGAGGTAGTGTCCTGCAGCATACATGTTGTTGCGTCACAGGTTTATTAATTATGAGCATGTTATTCTTTACATATATCAAATGATGTTTTAGTCTGTTTTCAGTCGTACAAATGGGTATCTCTCATAACCTCACGTCTAGTCGCACGTTTAAGAGGAAGCCAGAAGCTGGAATGTAAACATTAAACTTGTTTCCGTCCGGTTGCGCACGCACCTCCCTATGACATGTCACAAATCTCTCAGCGCGCCTCTGCGCCTAGTACTTATCGCTTATCTACAGTTGTCCTAATAAAGTAATAATATGTCTTACCTGTAGACTCCTGGAATGTAATCCTTGGTAATCCATTGTTTGTGTTCAACGCGTGTTTCGCTGTTTGACAGTGATTCTACACGTGGCAATATGTCGGGCATTTGTGCCTCGTGTCAACGAAAACTGTCTAAAGTAGACCCTCACAAGTATTGTCCTTCCTGCATCATTAAGGACGGGTTTTCAACGTGTTCCTGGAATAAACGTTGTAAAGAATGTGAGAACTTGTCTTCAATAAACTTTAACTTGTATCTTCGTGCGTTGGCGAAGCGGGCCGCTGACCAGCGCTACAAGCAGAGAAGGTCATCGGTTGGATCCTTGGACTCTGCACCCTCCACATCAGCCCCTGGGGGTGGCGAGTCGACCACACCTCAGAAATCAGTTGATAAAGACCCGCCTCAGTCAACTTCAGTTTTCGACAAGACACGTGACCATTCGCCTGCTGATGATACTACCCGCATGACTGATCTTCGTCATTCGGTTGATCGAGAGCGTCACTCAGCCACCCCCGTTACGACGGGACCGGGTGGTGACGAGGACCATGAGGGGACTACGGTCCCCAGGTCGGTCCGTATCTCGTTCTACCAACGACGATAGGGACGTCGTGCGGGACGACAGTGGACACAGAAGTCATTCCCGTTCAAGTCGGGACAACAGGTTGAGTGCCTCGTCGAGAGACAGTACACGACACGAGGGCGTTCATCGTCATCGTGGTCGTCGGATGTACGATTCGGACGATAACTACGATGGGGATCGTAGAACTTCTACAGTTAGAGATCATAGCCCTCGTCCCCACGGGGACGTGCGACGTTCTCGAAGGGAGTTTCGGGGAGTTCAGCGTCGTAGTGAAAATAGTGAGAGAACGACGACCCCGTCTCACTTTCATTTCGACCCGGCTTTGATAGCCCAGATCACGGCGGCGGTCCTCGCCTCGACGGCGTCGACCAAGAAGGATACGACTACGTCAGGGGTCCATGGCCCGTCAACTAGTACAGCAGCTCCTTCATCTACGCCTCCACAATCGACGTCGACGATGGATTGTGACGACAGCCCTTCTAGGCCTCCCAAAGAACGATGACAACCCGATGCGTGCAGGCTTTAAGGTCGGAGATACACCGCAGTCTCTTCAGTTTTCTCCTCCCGATGTCTTCAGAGCCATGGCTCACGATATGGACCAGAACTTTGGCTCTGCTCTGCCTGGGCAGAGCTTCTGCAAGCCGCCTGGTCGATCTCGTTACCCGATTTATGGCATGCCGTTTTCGTCACCCATGACTAGGGATTTGGACTGGGGGCTTCTCTTCAAGAAACCAGCGCCCTCCAAAATTCTTGTAGAAGACAGACATTTGGAATCCATGGACACTGCTGTTCGTCACCAGCTGCAAACGCTTGCTATGCTGTCGACAGCGATCGAGGCCCTCTCAGTGTACTTTGAGGAGAAAGAACCCCAGGACGAGGACGACAGGACGGTGCCATCGGTCCTCACCTGTATGCAACGGTGGATCTCGGACGTCCTCGCCCAGTCCCGATATGTATCGGGCCAGATTACTACGGCGCGTCGCCATGGTTACATCGACTGCACTGACCTACCTGATCGTCATGGCAGGTCACTCTTACGGGCCCCGTGGACATCGCAACAGTTGTTTGACGGTCGTACCAACGACGTTCTTGACAAGTACTCCAGGGAAGCCGAGCGTGACATCATCATTTCGGCTTCACCCAACCTGTCCAGACGGCCACCGGTTTCGAACGCCCCACGACGACGTTACCGAAACGAGAATGTGCAAAGGGCCTTCCGTAGGGACGTGCCTCGACAGCCGTCCCGCAAGGGAGGTTCCGACAGGAAAGGTCGCCAGGTCTCCTTTTCCAAGTTTCCCAGAGGGGGAAAGTACCAGCGGGGGAGGAAGTGAGGTCCCTTCCCCCGCCGTCGCCGTCGCCGTGGTTGGAGTCTCCCCCGTTGACACTACCTTTAGATGAGCTACCGGTAGGGGGGGCGACTTCGTCACTATGCCCACATGTGGGTTTTCCTCAACGCAACATACCTCCAACCACCCGACACATTCACCTTGATATCCCTCAGCTCTCTGCGTCGGATGATATTACCGAACGACTTCCTCGTCTCGTTAGACCTTCAGGACGCGTATCTACATTTACCAATAGCTTCCGAGTTCCAGAAGTACCTCCGATTCGAATGCCAAGGTATTCATTACCAGTGGGCGGCCCTCCCGATTGGAATTTCTACGGCCCCATGCTTTTTCACACGGATCATGAAGACGGTCGTAGAATGGCTCCATCGGCAGGCGATCAGGCGAGGGCGTCTTTATGAGCGAACCTCCGTTCATACTACACCTATTCGTAGACGCGTCATTGGAAGGCTGGGGAGCGCACTTCGGGGACGACCAAGCGGCCGGGCTGTGGTCGCCAGTAGAAAAGGTCCTCCACATCAACTGCCTCGAGATGGAAGCGTCATCAAACAGGGAACAACTGGACCGGACATTCAGGTTCTTCGCCCTCGTCGACGACTTGGACATGGGCGTACGCGCCCGTCACATCCCGGGGGCCAAGAATGTGATTGCCGACGCCCTGTCGAGACCATCGAGGCCGTCTCCCACGGAGTGGATGATCCATCCGACAGTCTTTCATCTGCTGACAGATCGACTCTGGTTGCCCCAAGTAGATCTCTTTGCAGCCCCGTACAACAACCGCCTCCCTCGATTCGTGTCGCCGGTTCCAGACCCACGGGCATGGGACCACGACGCTCTAGCGATATCGTGGGGGGTCAAGACGCTTACGCGTTTCCACAAACGGTGCTGTTACCATCGCAACTGATGAAAGTTCGGCAAACGGCCAACCTACGTCTGCTTTTGGTCGCACCTTATTGTCCGGCCAGAACATGGTTCCCGGAACTTCTTCAGATCATCGATCAACCACCGTTCCCGTTGCCAGATCGAGACGACCTCCTTCTTCATCCTCACACCGACGACTTGCATCCGGGGATAAAGAACTTCCAGCTTCACGCCTGGGTTTGCTTAAGACCTCGTTAATGAAGAAAGGCTATTCGGCTAAAGCGGCAGCGCTTGTCTCGTTGGCAAATCGAGTTACGACTCGTAAGCTGTAAGATGACAAGTGGACCACTTTCTCCATTTTCGCCAGGTCTCATGGCTTCAACCCGGCGGTAGCGACCCCACCACAGGTGGCGGAGTTCCTAGTCTCTCTCCGGTCATCTCGGCGTCTGACAGGGTCGACGATCTCGACATATCTGGCAGCTTTGGCTACAGTAGTGCCGTCTCCTACGGGCGACAAGCTCACTAACGTACCGGAGTTGCAGAAGATTCTACGTGCCTTCATGGTTGAAGATCAGTCACGTAAATTCCGACCGCCGGCCTGGGACCTCGATGTCGTTCTGCGCAAGCTGTCTAGTCAGGCTTACGAGCCTCTCGATCAGGTCGCGTTCGACTTATTGTCTCAGAAAACGGTTATCCTTCTCTCGCTGGCTACGGCTGCGAGAATTACGGAAATACATGACATTGACGTCGGTCGGATTACGTTCGATCAGCGTAACCATGGCAACGTCAATCTTGGTCTCCGATGGGATTTTTTAGCGAAAAATTAACTTCCTGGCCAAGATCCGAGAATGTTCCACATTCCTTCCTTGTCTGCCATTATGGGCCCTCATGATCACGCTGATCTCACCTTGTGCCCAGTTCGTGCGCTTCGTATTTACCTGCAGCGTTCTGAACAGCGACGACAACATTTTCGACGGCTGTTCATACCGTTCTCAACCAATGAAAGGAAAGAGATTACACGTAATACTCTCTCATTTTGGTTGAGAACGTTAATTCTCAGAGCTTACGAGGCGCAAGGACTCGCACCTCCCACCTCCTCTCATCCGCACGAAGTTCGAGCCATCGCTTCAACATTAGCACTCCACAGTAATTGTTCGCTACAAGTTATTATGGAGGGCTGCTTTTGGAGATCTGCTTCAGTGTTTGCTTCGCATTATCTTAGAGATATCTCCACAGAAGATGTTGAAGGACTCAAACAGTTTGGTCCACTCGTGGTGGCACAACAGATCTCTCAGAAAAGACAGTGAATTTGTGTTTTATTCACTTTGGAGTTTTTGCTCGACACTTCGTGACATACTACAGGTTACAATAAAAGCTGTTGGTGAATGTACGCATTCTTATGGTTTTTTGTTGCGTGCAGTACTTCTGCTTTTTATTATGGTTATTCGGTGTATGCATCGTCTTCCCATACATTATAGTACTGCTCGTATTTTTTAGTTACTTTGTATACAGCGAGTTGCTCTGTAACTAAATTATGCGCCGACCTCACTTCGATCCGGGTTCAACTGACGTGTGCAGTTGTACTGTCGCATCGATAATTAGTTGTGTGTCGAAGAGCATTAACCATGCTATTTTAGTTACCTTGTCTACGGCGAGTTGTTCTGTAACTAAATTATACGCCGACCACATTTCGATCGCAATTCAACTGACGTGTGCAGTTGTCCTGTCGCTTCGATAATTAGTTGTGAGTCGAAGAGCATTAAATATGCTGTTTTAGTTACCTTGTATACTGCGAGTTGCTCTGTAACTAAACTATTCGTCGACCACACTTCGATCGCAGTTCAACTGACGCGTGCAGTTGGCCTGTCGCATCGATAATTAGTTGTGTGTCGAAGAGCATTAACCATGCTGTGCGTTCGTGATAAACAACTTGTCTCGTCCGTGCATCTGGTCGAATGTTCTATTGTCACTACAGGGGTGAGGAACTTGGTACATTCGACGTGAAAGTGGTCACTGCCTGATTACTTTCCCGACCCTCCTTCCAGTGTTCCGTCGAATTCTACCCATTTGAAAACAGACTAAAACATGGGTTTTTCAGATTAAAAACGATGTTTTATTGGTCTGTTTTCAGTCGTACGTTCCCACCCACCCATCCCCACAGGGAAGTAATCCAGTCCAGTCCTGCTTGATGGCTTATTCTTCGAGATTTGTGACATGTCATAGGGAGGTGCGTGCGCAACCGGACGGAAACAAGTTTAATGTTTACATTCCAGCTTCTGGCTTCCACTTAAACGTGCGACTAGACGTGAGGGTATGAGAGATACCCATTTGTACGACTGAAAACAGACCAATAAAACATCGTTTTAATCTGAAAAACCCATATTTACAAGCCAACTAGTTCTTTTCATTTTACCAATATACATTGCCTCACTTGGACTTTTAGAAAACACATTGCCGTTATGCCACTATATGCATGCTAGGCTCAAATGACAGCAGTATTGCCGTTTCTTCATTGAAATTATCGGTGTCAGTGTATTTCACCTCAACTGTGTGCATTTCAGGGCCCTGGGGCTTGATGGCTCGCAGAAAGATTTGATCATCAAAAGTGAGTTGCTTTGATATTTGAAGCATCATCATGATCATTGTGAAAATGTTATCAAATTTAGTAAGTTTTAGAACTAAACACTTGCAGGGATGCAAATTGGCTCTAGCCTGTGATCCTGAGTCAATCTGTTGAAGGTATTCTGACTTGTCTGCTAAACCAATGCTAGTAACATTTTCAACAACATGGTGGTATTTATATGACCACCAGTATTACTGTGTTAATTCCTTTTCAAAGAAACTGTATTTTACCTTATGAGTGATATTGATTGTGACTTTTCTGTTACTTGTTTGATATGTGAGAATATTTACAAAGAATAACTTGTGATTGTTCGTCTCACACAGATTGCTTGTTTTATCAGATTCACAAACAGTAAATACCACAAATTGTTATACAAAATGTATTCTTGTTGATCAGTACAGCAATGTTTTGTCACCGTCCTGAGTTTTGGTTTCATTTTTTGAATGTTTGATGTTTTTTATTATTTATGTTTCAGTTTGTGAGCTGTGTACGCAGGTGCCCATGGATCCTGAACGAGCTAGAGTGAGTTAAAATTTTATTTAATGAATACATGGACATGTATGTGTATCTCTATAGCTGGCATTCATGAAATATCCCGGGGCGGTCGGGTAGCCTAGTGGTTAAAGCGTTCGCTCGTCACGCCGAAGACCCGGGTTCGATTCCCGACATAGGTACAATGTGTGAAGCCCATTTCTGGTGTCCCCCGCCGTGATATTGCTGGAATATTGCTAAAAGCGGCGTAAAACCAAACTCACTCACTCACTCATGAAATATCCCACTTAATATAATATGGATCTTCCTCATTAACCAGTTAACCCAAATATTTAAGACATTGGGGTATCCAGAGTACATTTCTATGGGAACAGTGACTTTACGAGACAAACAGCATTAGTACGTTTTCATTATTAAACATTGGATGGGACATTCCTCTTTCTACATTATGATTTTGAAAATTCTTCATGACAGTTTTGATGACAGTCAACGTCCTGGTCACTGTAGTGATCTGAAACCTGTAAGAGCTGTGGAAAGTTGTGGATCGTCATCAGAGTTCACCTGTGTTATTTCTTGCTTTTGTTCGCTGTAGTTCTGGCTGGAGAAGGCGGAGCAAACCTGCCCTGGGAATGATGTTATCTTCAGACTGAGGGTGAGTAAGGACATCAATAGCCACTTTTGCCACCAGTTCAGAGCCTGAGTCTAGCTCTTCAAACCTATTTCTTATCATCTTTGTTTATTAGCAAACATCTGTTAATCAGAGGCAACTTTAATGGGTCGTTTGGTTAGACTCGGTGACTTGTGTGTCACTGTACCCCGGCAATGTGGATTGTTGCTGTCATTATTTTACAGCCCGCTGTTATATAGCTGGAATATTGCTTAGTCCGCAGTTGAATAATAATAATAACTATAAATATCGCTGCAAACAGCAATGTCGGGCTCCAAGTGAAATGTACGCAAAAGTATCTGTCTACATTCAAATCCTCAAATAGTTTGCTTGTGACAATGCCATCAGAACTGAGGCATCGCAAGGAAATTGGTGTGTGCCGGAGAATCTCAAAGTGTTCTAAATCCACTTCTTGACCATGTTTGAATCCTCTTATCGTTTGCTGGTACCAACGCCGCCAAAAGTTAGGCACCCCTTGCGAGACATCACCGCTGCAAAATAGGCTTGTCCCTTGGTTTCCCAGGGTGTTCTAAACCTTTCTCCGACCTCGTCCATGTTTGAATCCTCAAATTCCTCCTTATGAAAGTAAAATTCATGAGAAAACATTCATCAGAAATAAAATCTAATGAGCTTCATTGACTGAAAGAATGGATGGAGCTTACTGCCGAACCTGGGAAAACTCAAAGGTGGGAACCCCACCACTACAAAACTGGTGTGTGCGGGAGAGTCCAAGACTGTTCTGTAATTGTCTGGGACCTGCATCACGTCAGGCTTTCCCTTCGCATAAGCAGACATACCGTGATATAACTGTGTTAAACCCAACTCACTCACTCACTCCAAGAGTGTTCTAAACTCATTTCTGACCTTGACCACATTCAAATACTCAAATGGTTTGCTTGTACGAACCCAGTCAAACATAAGGGTAAAGACCAATTCTAACCCTGATCTTCAAGGGTAGTACGGGGAGGTTGGGGAGGCCTAGTGGTTACAGGGTTCACTGGTCACACTGAAGACCTGGGTTCGATTCCCGACATGGGTACAATGTGTAACGCCCATTTTTGGTCTTCCCCGTCGTGATATTGCTGGAATATTGCTAAAAGCGGCGTAAAACCATACTCACTCACTCACTCACTCAAGGGTAGCACACATAATGCTGAAGACATTTGTGAAAAGACTGTATTGCTCTTGGGTCTCTGGAAAGCCAATGAATGGCGCTTCCTTTAGTATTTTCCTCGAAACATATATGAGATTACTAATCATGAAACAAAAAATGGAATATAACCTCCAAGCAATGTTACTTTTAACATGCAACCAAGAACAAAACGTGGTACACATGGAACTAAAACTTTCAATACCTTCTGTGTATAATCTTACAACTTCTATACAAGATAAAACAACCACATTGCCATCTCATCTTACTGTGTACCCATTCACTGCTGGGAGAACAGGCATATTTTAGACAAGGTCCCTTGCCCATGGAGACACCACATATGGTAAATGTGCTTCAGTGTATGACAGGACCGAAGCCCCAGACGCTCTAAATACCCATTCAAGGACTCTCAGCAGCTGTCGTTGCCTAGCTTCACCTGATTTGTGACCAAAAAAACACAACAAAACAAATATTAGCAATAATAATTGGGTGCTATGTATTTTGTGTCATTTCAAGATCTATTCATAGGGCTTGCATGTAAACATAACTTTTGCCCATAGTTATAATGTCATGTTCTTGTGCAGGAGATGATAGCCCAGAACAGTGGTGATGAAGACTTCCAGGAACTAGAAAACCTCATCACATCAGAATTGGTAAGTGTCCATGTACAATCATATGAACTAGGGGGCATGGGTGGCCCAGTCGTCTAAGGCGCCGCGATTCACTGTGCAGAGTTGCATCCCTTGGGCACGCAAGAAACCTATGATTGTGGGTTCGAATCCGGTTCGCCCCGATTGTTTCTAGGTTTGTCAGCACCATACCCGTGCTCGTGGGTTTCACCGAAGTGGTAAACGTCGGAGACCTGCACCCCTTCGGGCTTTCCTCCCACATTAAGCTGACACACCGCGATATAACTGGAATACAGTTAAAAGCAGCGTTAAACCCAACTCACTCACTCACTCACTCACTCACTCATATGAACTATATAATTTCCAGAGTTGAAACCATTCCATCTTCTCTTGAGTCGATGTGTCAGTAGTGGGATGCACATACTTATACCAGCTGAACGGACATTGCAAAAAATGAAGCTGATCTGATATACTTAAAGTGAAATATTTTGTCAGTGACAGTATTGTTTTGGTCCTGTGACAGCCAGCAGGCACTCAGTATGTTCACTCAGTCTGAATTGTGTGAGCTGACTTGATGACATCAACACTGCCATAACAATTTGTTGAGGTTTTGAGACAGCAACTATCCAGTCAGATAAACAAACTCAAACAAGTTATGGTAACTAATTAAGCATCTGCAAAAAGTCTTGTACAAAATGTCCAATTTTGCAGTGGTTGGGAAAACTAATGTTTGGAGAACTTAAAAGGAATAATGTGCTCAAAGGTTAAATGTTGCTGTCTTTGGTTTACATCCAATGTTTACATGTAGAATATCTTCCTGGCATGTTGTTGTGTCAAGGAGTACTAGAGTCATATTTATTGTTGTAGACACAACGCCCAGAAGATGTAAGCCTACGAGTGAAGCTGCTACGCTTTTACCTGAAGTCGGGGAAGCTTGACCATGCTTACAATGTGGCTGTGCAGACTGACCGCACCATGGCTTTCACAGACAGCCTGGAGTGGTATGAAACTCTCCTTGATGTCTACTATGTAAGTACTGGGGCACTTGACACAAGCATATAAGGCATTTGTTCTGTTCTGAAACTAACTGTTTGGCAGCACCTCTGTTCTTGTCTTTACTAATGTAGCTTGGTCATCAGCAATGGGAAACATGCTTACACTATTTGGCCTTAGGGGGGCCCAGTCTTCTAACGCACCGCATGCACTTCTCTGTGCAGAGATGTATGCCTTGGGCACGCGAGAAACCTATGATTGTGGTTTGAATCCTGGTTCGCCCCCGATTATACTTGTCCTTGTGGGTCTCAACTAAGTAGTGAATATCTGAGATCTCCATCTCCAAGATTTCCTCTCTCACCAAGCTGACTCACCGTGTCTGTCAGTCTGTCTGTGTCTCTGTGTCTCTTTCTGCTTGAACTGGCCCGGACTAATGCCAATTTTAGACTACCGTATTCGACGTAATAAGCGCCCACGGCGATATTTGCGAATATATTGGCTAGTGAACAAACCCAATTAGCACCCCTTCCGGATGATCAATATTCACAAGACCTATTTATTCGCGTATGATACGCACTCGTGTGTTATATGCAACCTTAATTATTGGCAATTAAATTCTGGAATAATATATCTGTCGTACATGAACACGAAATGTATCTTTCAACTCTGTTTTTTTTTCACCAAAATAATATTTTAATAAGAGCCAGCTATTTCTAATTTTGAGAGCGCCCTTGGTGCTTATTACGTCGAATACGGTACTTGCTTTTTTGGAAATAATTTTGTTATAAATGGTGTATAATCATTTATCTTCTCCATCTTCTAGGCCTACAAAGGGAAGACTGGCTGCCGTGGAGACCTACGATTCTACACCCAGTTCCTGCACACTTTGAGGAATGTCGTGTACCTGCGTCTATGTTACAGGGAACCTGTTGCTTGTGCTGAGGTTCTTCACCAGTAAGTTACAGCCCTGTCATGTATATTTGACTAGATACAGGAGCACAACCCTCTGTGCCATGGAAGCTTAATATTCTTAGTTTATCATCCAGTTCCTCACTTATAATGCTTGAGGAAATAGGAACTATGCTAATCCCAATCCCAATCCCAATTTTGAACAAAATATCATTTTCTCCACAATGTGTTTGCCAAGGCTCTTCGTTTGGAATCCTTGATAAATCCTTGGGTGGTAAAAAGGCATGGACTGTGTGGGACCATGGAGTAAGATTTGTTGCGTGTGTCCAGGTTTGACCAGGTACTTCAAGAAGCTGTACAGATTCCAAATCAGCAGGAGGACGACTGGATGTCATTCCTAACTGAGATGACCGGCCAGTTCTTCTTCTCCTGCGGCACGCTGCTGCTGAAGAGAGCCCAAAAGGTAACTTGTCTCTTCATTGGAGTCAAATCATAAATCCCAGTCAGTGTTTGTACAGGCCTGGAAATGAGCATCTGTATGTTCCATGCCAGTGTTCATTGCATCCCTGTAGGATTATTGCTCAGTGTACTTTAAGGCTTACACTTTCACATTGCTTTTGACAACTTTTAATCTTACTGCTTTTTGTTTTTTCTTGTCTTGAGTGTTTAGCTGAGATACCACTTGGCAACTGTAGCCCTGTGTTTGTAATGTGACTGTTAGTGGTAGCAAGCGGTTATGCATCATTGTGACGATTCTATGAAAGTGATGATGTTGCTGCCAGTGTAGCTGTCTTTCTTCAATTTTGTGTGTCATTAATCACTTTCTAATCTTTATTTTCTCTGCATTGATATTGCAGAGAGACATTATTATTACCTGAATTTTATGAGCATTTGGATCTCTTGATCTGACAGCTAATGTAACTATTACATTTAGTTTGCAACTGTCAAACATTTTACACTTGTCTCATTTCTCCAAAGATGATATACCATTGGTATGGGTTTTTGGCTCGAAGAAAGAGTTACTTGGTATTGGTACTTGCATTCCTGAAATTGACTTGTCTAAAGGAAATAATGGTGTTAATGGCACCTCCTCATCAGATGCTTGTATGTCAGGGTGGGCTGTCGTGGAAGGATGTGATCCCCCTGGCCTCCGTGTGCTATCTTCTCAACAACTCCATCATCACAATAGACTCGCGGTCCGAGTGGTTTGTGTCAGCAAGCAAGGACAAGAAGAGCATGTATGAACATCTGCACATGATCAGCAACTTCCGACGCAGCCAGGGAGGTGAGGGAATTAGTCAATTATCACAGTCTCAGGGACAAGGATGAGTAAACAGTATCTGGACACTTTGTCTAAGTATGATGTTGTGAAAAGCATGACATACCTATGTTGATCTGGAGTGTATATTATGATAAGACATGATTCATAAACTTAGTGGTTTGAAAGATTAAAACGAACATGTCAGTGTTGGTTCTTTTTGGAATAAGCTTTCACTATGTTAATCTCATGCCAAATTATTGTGAGATCAATTGTTAACTCTAACTCTATATTCTATTGCTATAACAGGGGTACAAGGTAACCTGAAACACATACTATCCCGAATAGTGATAAGATCCATTCCCTAAATCTACCAGCCCTCAGGATAGCTGTAACATTAGACAATCTACTGGGACAAGTGGGCTTGTGCATGTCTACATCCAAACATATTAATCTGAAAAAAAGCTGGTTTTCTATTGCTAGATGGTGGAGATAAGGGGGGTATTTGAAAGGGATTGTAAGGCAATGCATTAGTAAACAGGATGGTTTATTTTGAGTTCACTGTTTAGAACAGTTGACGGGGGCACGGGTGGCCCAGTCGTCTAAGGCGCTGCGCTTCGCTGTGCAGAGTTGCGTCCCTTGGGCACGCAAGAAGCCTATTATTATGGGTTTGAATCCCGGTTTGCCCCGATTATGTTTCTAGGTTAGTCAGCACCATACCCGTGCTCGTGGGTTTCACCGAAGTGGTAAACGTCTGAGACCTGCATCACTTCGGGCTTTCCTCCCACATTAAGCTAACACGCCACGATATAATTGGAATACTGTTAAAAGCGGCGTTAAACTCAACTCACTCACTAGAACAGTTGACATTTGAATTTCTCCATGCTGCATACACATGAGATACAGGAGCCTCATGTTACAACTACTTCCACAGGCCACACTCTACAAGCACTGGGCAAGGGAGACACAGCAACATGGACACAGAAACTGAGACAGCAATACTGCAGACAACAAGGCCGAGAAAAGCTGTACGACACCGTCTTCACTCTGCCAGACATGAGGGCAAAGAAAGACAGTTCCTACCTGATAAAGAATCGGACCTACACGGACAACGTACTCCTGTTTCCTTCCCGGCGCCAGATGCGATCCTTCGATTCGGGCTGCTACAGACTTCACCCCCAAAGTCTGACCAACTTCATATGGCTGGCTCTACAACGGTACTCCTGTAAAGACAAGGCTCAGCCTTACTACGGCTTCGACATCTTTGAGGATTTGGTTTACAGTGTGAAAAACATGTCAGTTGGTGGTGCGGAGTCTTTGTGTCAGCTGGACACAGATGTGTTTCTCATTGCGTCGGTTTGCTGTGCAGCATTGAGGCACCAGGAGATGATTCACATGGGTCACAGTGATCCCACGCAGCCAGACTTTCTACCCCTGAGTCTGACGAAACCACTGTGTACACAGGAGCAGGCAGACTGGTGGCTGGCAGCTTACAAATTCCACACTAACACAGTCAAGTAGGTTTCAAGTAGTTTTCTGTCCTATCACACAACCCAGTCTCACTTTTTCCCACAACAATGTTCTTTTTGTCAATCAATAGCCTTGTGTGGAATCCAGTTTAAAACAGGTCTCAAGCAACCTAATGGACCTGGTGTTGGTTGATTGCATGTAGCCTGACCATGAACGGTGCTTATAATTTTAATTATGTTTTTTTCTTCTCTTGACCTGATTATTTACAGGTCACTGTCATATAGCTGGGACATAGCTAAGTGCGGCATTCAGCACCGAATTGATGTAGATTTCTAATAAATGTTTTTTTTAGTTTTGAGATTCATTATCAACAAGTACACCAGAAATATTTGTCAGAGGTGAACAAAGTATTCACCATGCCATAAAGTACATTGCTCATTTCTTGTTGCATACATGAGAAATTTAGGAAAGAAAGTTGGTTTTTATGTAGCACTGATAACCATGGATAAGCTCATGATGTCCGTCACAGGATTGTCTGGTCCGTACTTGATTATTTACAGACGGCGGTCATATAGCTGCAATATTGCTGAGTGCGGTGTTAAACAACAAAGAAACAAACCAACAAAAAAACATGAATAAGTATCAAGTTTTATGATAGAATAATGAATTTGCTTTTATTGAAATGCCAGAGATGTCCTATAAAATTCTACACTGGTACCATTTTGTGAAAAACGTAATGCATAATCTCAATCTCTTCCCCCATCATCCCCTTAGTTGCTATCCTAGATTCATCGGTGATGTATCATGTGCAAGAGTCGGCACATTTGATGATTTGTATCTTATTTGTACTTAGGGACAACTTTTCCAAGATGCGCCACACCCTGCAGCGGGGGATAGAGACTGTCCGCCTCGTCGCGGGTCACGGGGTGTCTGTCAACCTCATCATCCACATAGCCAGGTCACTGGAGGTGAAGGCCTCTGAGATGAAACAGTTGGGGCCACAGTTCACATTGAATGTTACCGACACTGAGACCAGAGCAGAGTTTTACTGGGAGCAGGCCCTGGAAATGTTGAACCGACTTGATAAGTAAGGGCTGGTGATTAATTATAAGTCTTGCATGTGGTCCATGGCATATTGTTAACTCAGATATGATGCATGAAACCCTTACTTAATAGGTCGTGTCTCGCGAACCCTGAGTGACCCGTGAAGGTCCAGGGTAGAATAAGTCTTCAGCAACCCATGCTTGCCGTAAAAGGTGACTATGCTTGTCGTAAGAGGCGACTAACGGGATCAGGTGGTCAGGCTCGTTGACTTGGTTGATGCATGTCATCTTATCCCAATTGCGTTGATCGATGCAATACAACACGATGAATTTATATGCAATGATTTTGCATGTGATGCATGTTGCCAGGAACCGGAATCCCCATGTGCCGAAGCACCGACTGTTCAAGGATGACACTGACCAGGACCTGGACGAGGCCACCATTAAAGCGCTCACCTCCGAGGTCCAGTACGCTGTTGGCTGTGCAGCAATGAAGAAAAACAAGTACGAGGATGCTATCAATATATTTGACAAACTACACACGCCATATGCTTCACTCAACTCGGCAAAGGTAAGTAATTTTATGATCAATGAACACAAATGATTATTGATGTGTGAAAGGACGCTGTAAGTGTTCCTAGAGGTGTGTGAAATGTTGTGTTGTGTATACAGTGAATGGATAGATTTATTGATTTATTTAGATTAGTCAGAATACAGAGACGTACAATTATGATGCGATTTGTCATGGGTCAGTACACTAAGGCTGTGTATGTAACATCCAAGACTATGATATGCACCCAATGACAACATATTTAGCCTCAATGGCTAGGGAAGATGGGGTTGAAAGCATGCAGCGATTCAAGAAGGAGGAACCCCAGCTTAGAATTGTCTCAGTTAGCAATGTTGGCTGTAAGAGGCACGTTAATGGAGCGGAAGGTCAGGATTGTGAGACACACACACACACACACACACACACACACACACACACACACACACACACACACCTTGAGGTTTTCTTCTTATGGATTTGAATCTTGGTACCCTACATCTTGAGCATAAGGGCAATGACTAGGACGCTTGACGTTGTGCTTAATGTGGAACACTGCATGTAGTCCTTCTGTGCATTGGGGCAGAAGTTGTTGCTTATGCAATACCAAGTGTACCAACATTGATGCTGTAATCTTAGTGTTGATAGCTGGAGGTTATGGTAAGACTGTATGCTGATGTTCTGCTGTTCTAGATATACAAGGTTCTAGCAGAGCAGGAGCGATCTCGGGATGCTCCTGTTGGAAGAGAACAACACCAGATTCTCTTAACAAAAGCTCGGGATGCCATCTATCGTACTTTTGATCTTCTGCAAGGAGATAAGAAACATGTGAGTGTGCACTGATCAGTGCTGATTGAATATTCGCGACTGGAAAACAGTTAGGGAGCTAGCAACTTGCAGGGCTCGATTTAAGGAACTACCTATAGATTTGAACATGTTGACCAGTACCAGTAGATGCACCAGTCTAAATCAGGTTGCTCTCATATCGGTACCCATGAACTATACTGGCAGTGGTATTTCCTACACTTGTGGCAGATGTAATTCTGAAAACGTCATCCCGGGCACCAACATTACTGGTAGTACTTGAAGCCAAATCTGACATTCTTCCACAAACAAAGCCACTGCAGCTGTCACTGCATTAATTTTTATCCCCTGCCACGAAGTGGAAGGGGGACATAGGAATGGCTGCCGTACCATATTTCTTCACCAAACTTGGCACATAGATAGATCTAGTGGTGAACTGGTGCCTTTTGATAGTTTGGGATTTTAAAAAAGTTATTTTTCGAGTTTCCATGGCAACGACTTTGATTTAGACTGAAAATGCCGGTAGTCCTCGCTACCGGAGCAGATCTTGAAAACCAGACCATATTTCTTCACCAAACTTGGCACATAGATAGATCTAGTGGTAAACTGGTGCCTTTTGATAGTTTGGGATTTTAAAAAAGTTATTTTTCGAGTTCCATGGCAACAACTTTGATTTAGACTGAAAATGTCAGTAGTCCTCGTTTCCGGAGTAGATCTTGAAAACCGTACCATATTTCTTCGTCATACTTGGCACATAGATAGGTCTAGTGGTGAACTGGTGCCTTTTGATAGTTTGGGATTTAAAAAAAAAAGAAGTATTTTTCGAGTTTCCATTGCAACGACTTTGATTTAGACTGAAAATGGATGTAGTCCTCGTTTCCGGAGCAGATCTTGAAAACCGTACCATATTTCTTCGTCATACTTGGCACATAGATAGGTCTAGTGGTGAACTGGTGCCTTTTGATAGTTTTGGATTTTTTTTTAAAGTTATTTTTCGAGTTTCCATTGCAACGACTTTGATTTAGACTGAAAATGGAGGTAGTCCTCGTTTCCAGAGCAGATCTTGAAAAACGTACTATATTTCTTTACAAAAAGGCCCAGTGAACATAGTTCACAGGAGCTAATGCATTGCACACACCCGACATGTCATATTGGCGGGGAATGTGAGTATTTCATGCTTGTTTTTAATAAAATTTTGACGTGGACCAGGTGCATGTAGAAAAAGATAATAGGTTGCATTTATATCAGGATGCACTAAGTCCATGTTATATATGGTTAAATCGAGCCCTGACTGTCAATTTCATATATACTGAACTGCCATGTATCTTTTTAGAATATGTACATATGACATTGATCTTATTTTGATTAATGATACCACTAATACCAGCTGGAATGTAAGTTCCAAGACCACTGTATGTTTCGCTAAATGGTCAGTACCAAGTCATATTATGTGATGCTAAGAAAGAGGGAGCAATTAAATCGTCTTAAAATAAGCATTGCCATGAAGTTACAATGCATGTCATTAGATACTTATTTTGGTTTCTGTATTAGAATGTTAGTTTCTGAACAAAAAGAAATATACTTTGTTTGAAAGTTTATACAGCATGTTATTTATAAAATTGACTATTTCATGTGAGAAAATATGGAAAGTTGTGTTACTTTGTTTCAACGTGTACCATATTCGACGTAATAAGCGCCCAGGGCGCTCTCAAAATTAGAAATGGGGGGCTCTCATTAGAATATTATTTTGGTGAAATAAAAACAGTTGAAAGATAAATTTCGTGGTTTATGCAGACAGCCTGAAATGTTAATGTACGACAGATATATTTTTCCAGAATTTAATTGCCCATAATTAAGGGTGCATATAACGCACGAGTGCGTATTATACGCGAATATATAAGTCTTGTGTATATTGATCAATCAGAAGGGGTGCTAATTGGGATTGTTCACTAACCAATATATTAGCAATTATCGCCGTGGGCGCTGATCAGAGCGGTGCGCTTATTACGTCGAATACAGTATATCACATTGTGCACAGTTTGCTGTAGAAACACAGGAAGTATTTATGGTCAGAGATGTAACCATGTTGCACAGTTGCAACTTGTTTCTTTTTGGATGTAACATTGTTTGTTCAGATAGTGTCATGACTATGAAAGTACAAGTATGAATAATGTTGATTGTATGTTGATTGTTTTCAAGGAATTGAACAAGTCGGTGCAGCAACATTACGATGAGATTGAGTCTCAGCTGATGAGTGTGGCAGGTAAGTGAACATGACAGCTAAAAAACAATTATGCTGTTTAAAATTCTGAATTCCTGTGCAATTGTTACTTGTGCTGTTTATTGTGACGTGTGAGAATTAACTGTTTCTGTGTCACTGTACCTCAAAGGTATAGATTGTTACTGGTGTTGTTTATGGTTACAGTGTAAGAGTTAGCTGTTTCTGTGTCACTGTACCTCAGAGTATAGATTTTTACTTGTACTGTCCAGGGTTTTATTGGACACAAAGATATTGCATTCTACACTCTTACAAATTGTGCATGGACACTAATACTTTACATTGTGAGTCATGTGAGTCGCAAATCAGTTTGGCTATTTGAATCATAAAACTAACCAGAACTATAGACTCCATATGCTACATGACTGGCATGTCTATCCTGGTATGAAAAACACTGACATATAAATCTCAATCTGTGAAAGGCTGAAGAAAAATTTAAGTTCTTGGAAATAATGTAAAACCAGCCTGGGCTCCTCATGTTCATACCCGAAAATTGTGACTGAGTTCATGGATTTGAAACTATATAGACCCATGTGAATCCCTGGCTGTCAATCACTGGTCTGACTTGCCAAGACGTGATTATTAATGATATGGCTTCAATTTGCTCTCAGCGTCATAACATATCATTCAGTCTTCTAGAAGTATAAAAATATGTGGGTGGGTGGGTTTTTTGCACCGCTTTCAAGCAATATTTCTGCAGTGTCAAGGCAGGAGACACCAAATAGGAATCAGACTCGGGACTTTTCCGCCTTGTCCCAAAAAATTCACCTTCATCCCTAACATATCACAGATCTATTGACCACAGTTGAGAGTTAGATTTTAATATGGTCCTTGCAGCAGTTTGTCAATTTAGAGGAAGTGTTCACCCCTGTCCCTTGTTTGACAGAGTGGGGTGATGATGAAGAGCCAAGTCAGTACCACACTCCAACAGCCATCCAGATGGATGGAGACGTGTCGTCCCCAGACCACAGTACACCCAGGGACAAGTCCAAGACCAAGTCTCCAGCAGCTCAAGTCAGCTTCAATACATCTGATGTAAGTCACAAATAATATTCGGACTGAAACAGTGGTGATCTGCTACTAAATATTATATGAAAAGTCAAATGAAAGATGAAGAAATCTACATGACCTGTTTTAGCAACCAAATAGTTCTTACAGTTTACTCCTCTATGATCGAATTTAGGGACCCCAATTTTTTTCGTTTTAACGTCATGACTTTCAATCTTGATCTTGAAAGTTGGTCTGTATCAGTGGGTTTTTTTCACTTGGAAATTCAGTTGATGAGTTAATAATGTACAATGTTACGTACTCTTGGACAGGCTGGCCGACACATCAGACCAAGCCCAGAGCACATGGATGCCAAGATCCGTTCCCTGGCCTACTCCCAAGAGTCCTTGGTCAAGATGGTGCTTGCCCGCAATGAGGAGCTGGTCAAGTTCAACAGTCAGCTTGTGGAGGCCCTGAGGGAGAACAGAGAAGTCATCACACAGCTTAAGGTGAAGCTTACAGTTGTGTAGGGATAATTCCCTGCCATTTGGTGTGGCACTTTGACTTATTGTTACAACATATCACATGTTTTAAAAGTTTCGTGTTTATTTGTATGTAATGTCTCACAATGTCTCTCTCACTGTCTAGTCAAGAGGGACTTGACGTAATGCTTTGCTAACAATTATTATAGGTAAGCAGTATCCTGTGCTTCTTGTGTAGTCATGCACTAGTGATGTAGAATGTTGCTCGTGATCTTCACTGCTGGTTTACCTTGGTGAGGCAGGCTAACACCTGGTCAGTCACTCTCTGAACCTTGGGGATATTTACTGCTCAGATGATGTTTTTGCTAGAATGAATACCCATGGGGATCCCAGGTTAGAAAAGGTCTCGAGCAACAAGTGCTGGTTGACTTGGGTGGTCAAATTAGGTGACTCAGTTCTTGCCATATTTCTTCGTCACACTTGGCACATAGATAGGTCTAGTGGTGAACTGGTGCCTTTTGATAGTTTGGGATTTAAAAAAAGAAGAAGTATTTTTCGAGTTTCCATTGCAACGACTTTGATTTAGACTGAAAATGGAGGTAGTCCTCGTTTCCGGAGCAGATCTTGAAAACCGTACCATATTTCTTCGTCATACTTGGCACATAGATAGGTCTAGTGGTGAACTGGTGCCTTTTGATAGTTTTGGATTTTTTTTTAAAGTTATTTTTCGAGTTTCCATTGCAACGACTTTGATTTAGACTGAAAATGGAGGTAGTCCTCGTTTCCAGAGCAGATCTTGAAAAACGTACTATATTTCTTTACAAAAAGGCCCAGTGAACATAGTTCACAGGAGCTAATGCATTGCACACACCCGACATGTCATATTGGCGGGGGATGTGAGTATTTCATGCTTGTTTTTAATAAAATTTTGACGTGGACCAGGTGCATGTAGAAAAAGATAATAGGTTGCATTTATATCAGGATGCACTAAGTCCATGTTATATATGGTTAAATCGAGCCCTGACTGTCAATTTCATATATACTGAACTGCCATGTATCTTTTTAGAATATGTACATATGACATTGATCTTATTTTGATTAATGATACCACTAATACCAGCTGGAATGTAAGTTCCAAGACCACTGTATGTTTCGCTAAATGGTCAGTACCAAGTCATATTATGTGATGCTAAGAAAGAGGGAGCAATTAAATCGTCTTAAAATAAGCATTGCCATGAAGTTACAATGCATGTCATTAGATACTTATTTTGGTTTCTGTATTAGAATGTTAGTTTCTGAACAAAAAGAAATATACTTTGTTTGAAAGTTTATACAGCATGTTATTTATAAAATTGACTATTTCATGTGAGAAAATATGGAAAGTTGTGTTACTTTGTTTCAACGTGTACCATATTCGACGTAATAAGCGCCCAGGGCGCTCTCAAAATTAGAAATGGGGGGCTCTCATTAGAATATTATTTTGGTGAAATAAAAACAGTTGAAAGATAAATTTCGTGGTTTATGCAGACAGCCTGAAATGTTAATGTACGACAGATATATTTTTCCAGAATTTAATTGCCCATAATTAAGGGTGCATATAACGCACGAGTGCGTATTATACTCGAATATATAAGTCTTGTGTATATTGATCAATCAGAAGGGGTGCTAATTGGGATTGTTCACTAACCAATATATTAGCAATTATCGCCGTGGGCGCTGATCAGAGCGGTGCGCTTATTACGTCGAATACAGTATATCACATTGTGCACAGTTTGCTGTAGAAACACAGGAAGTATTTATGGTCAGAGATGTAACCATGTTGCACAGTTGCAACTTGTTTCTTTTTGGATGTAACATTGTTTGTTCAGATAGTGTCATGACTATGAAAGTACAAGTATGAATAATGTTGATTGTATGTTGATTGTTTTCAAGGAATTGAACAAGTCGGTGCAGCAACATTACGATGAGATTGAGTCTCAGCTGATGAGTGTGGCAGGTAAGTGAACATGACAGCTAAAAAACAATTATGCTGTTTAAAATTCTGAATTCCTGTGCAATTGTTACTTGTGCTGTTTATTGTGACGTGTGAGAATTAACTGTTTCTGTGTCACTGTACCTCAAAGGTATAGATTGTTACTTGTGTTGTTTATGGTTACAGTGTAAGAGTTAGCTGTTTCTGTGTCACTGTACCTCAGAGTATAGATTTTTACTTGTATTGTCCAGGGTTTTATTGGACACAAAGATATTGCATTCTACACTCTTACAAATTGTGCATGGACACTAATACTTTACATTGTGAGTCATGTGAGTCGCAAATCAGTTTGGCTATTTGAATCATAAAACTAACCAGAACTATAGACTCCATATGCTACATGATTGGCATGTCTATCCTGGTATGAAAAACACTGACATATAAATCTCAATCTGTGAAAGGCTGAAGAAAAATTTAAGTTCTTGGAAATAATGTAAAACCAACCTGGGCTCCTCATGTTCATACCCGAAAATTGTGACTGAGTTCATGGATTTGAAACTATATAGACCCATGTGAATCCCTGGCTGTCAATCACTGGTCTGACTTGCCAAGACGTGATTATTAATGATATGGCTTCAATTTGCTCTCAGCGTCATAACATATCATTCAGTCTTCTAGAAGTATAAAAATATGTGGGTGGGTGGGTTTTTTGCACCGCTTTCAAGCAATATTTCTGCAGTGTCAAGGCAGGAGACACCAAATAGGAATCAGACTCGGGACTTTTCCGCCTTGTCTCAAAAAATTCACCTTCATCCCCAACATATCACAGATCTATTGACCACAGTTAAGAGTTAGATTTTAATATGGTCCTTGCAGCAGTTTGTCAATTTAGAGGAAGTGTTCACCCCTGTCCCTTGTTTGACAGAGTGGGGTGATGATGAAGAGCCAAGTCAGTACCACACTCCAACAGCCATCCAGATGGATGGAGACGTGTCGTCCCCAGACCACAGTACACCCAGGGACAAGTCCAGGACCAAGTCTCCAGCAGCTCAAGTCAGCTTCAATACATCTGATGTAAGTCACAAATAATATTCGGACTGAAACAGTGGTGATCTGCTACTAAATATTATATGAAAAGTCAAATGAAAGATGAAGAAATCTACATGACCTGTTTTAGCAACCAAATAGTTCTTACAGTTTACTCCTCTATGATTGAATTTAGGGAGCTCAATTTCTTTCGTTTTAACGTCATGACTTTCAATCTTGATCTTGAAAGTTGGTCTGTATCAGTGGGTTTTTTCACTTGGAAATTCAGTTGATGAGTTAATAATGTACAATGTTACGTACTCTTGGACAGGCTGGCCGACACATCAGACCAAGCCCAGAGCACATGGATGCCAAGATCCGTTCCCTGGCCTACTCCCAAGAGTCCTTGGTCAAGATGGTGCTTGCCCGCAATGAGGAGCTGGTCAAGTTCAACAGTCAGCTTGTGGAGGCCCTGAGGGAGAACAGAGAAGTCATCACACAGCTTAAGGTGAAGCTTACAGTTGTGTAGGGATAATTCCCTGTCATTTGGAGTGGCACTTTGACTTATTGTTACAACATATCACATGTTTTAAAAGTTTCGTGTTTATTTGTATGTAATGTCTCACAATGTCTCTCTCACTGTCTAGTCAAGAGGGACTTGACGTAATGCTTTGCTAACAATTATTATAGGTAAGCAGTATCCTGTGCTTCTTGTGTAGTCATGCACTAGTGATGTAGAATGTTGCTCGTGATCTTCACTGCTGGTTTACCTTGGTGAGGCAGGGTAACACCTGGTCAGTCACTCTCTGAACCTTGGGGATATTTACTGCTCAGATGATGTTTTTGCTAGAATGAATACCCATGGGGATCCCAGGTTAGAAAAGGTCTCCAGCAACCAGTGCTGGTTGACTTGGGTGGTCAAATTAGGTGACTCAGTTGTTTGTGTGCATGGATTGTTGCTCACAATATTGGTCACTGGATTGTCTGATTCAGAAGCGAGTATTTACAGGTTGCCATTATAAAGCTGGAATATTGCTGAGTGTGGCATAAAGGAACAAACAAACTAGACTGAAATACTTCTCATAATTTTTCTATATCGGCCTCCTATGCGAATATTGAATATTTCTTGTCGAAACTTGCTATGCAGGTCAGTCTAGTGGTGTACTGGTACCTTTTAATGATTTGGGAGCTTCAATTATTTGTTTTTCACAACAAGTTGGACTTATACTGAAAATGATAATAGTGCTCATTTCCGGTGCAGAACTCCCAAACCATTGGATATTTCCAGATGGAACTTGCTTTACAGACCAGTATAGTTGTGAACTGGTGCCTTTTGATAATTTGGGATATTGAAAAATACTGAACAGCAACGTATTTTTTCTTCACAGAACTGAAGGTAACCAATGGCAATGTACCAAAAGTTGGGTATATGTAGCCAAACTCCATTTCTGAATTGCACCAGAATGGAGAAGATATGTCATCTCCTGGCGGTTCTTGTTTAGGATGGACTGTGTATGTCGTCATCTCAGTGAGTGAGTCTTGTGTTGCAGACAGAGGAGCTGGCCAGACAGTTCAAGAAGAACTTTGAGGAGGTTCAGGAGCTGGTCAGGGCAACGGAATCTGGTAAGGCTTTGTGTTAGGGTGCTACCTCTTACCCAATGAACCAAAGTAATTAAATCTAAACCTCCTGGATGATCATTTTTCATAGCTGTTCAACATTTTCTCAGTCGTATAGAATGGTGTTATTCTTGTTCAACCAAAGAATAATACTTATAGTGTATTTGTGTCATTTGATCTTATAAGATTCTTAATAAACCAAACTCACTGTGACCATTTTTCTGCACCCTTGAATAAAACAGTTTATCTGTCACCTGAAGAATTGTCTAAAACAGGAACTGATGTACTTCCAGCATCTCCAGCCAAGAATACCAACAGCTCGGCAAATGTGTCCAAAAGCCAGGATGTCTCTGTGACAGAGGAGGAGGAAGAAGATGACGATTCTGAGGAAGAAAGCATCATGTTTGAGAAGAGAGCTACGTTGACTTATTTTGAGAATGACGAGTGGAAGGTAAGATATTGATGCTTTTTTTATGTGTCGCACAGTATTGCAGTGATGTAGAGTCAGTCAGATCACTTGTCAAAATGGTTTGCTGCTCTAAGATGGCATTAACGACACTGGCACGATGCGATCATGCGTTGACGTCCATGAGGAAGAAGTCCAGTCCGATTGCTCCAGCATACAGTCTTATTTACACATCCAAAATGTCATCCCTGAAGCGCACACCTGTCATGGTGCTTCACTGTAGGACATGGAGATCGGTTCTTCCCGCTCTGCTGATCCTACCCCAAATTATGATTGAGACTCCTCCATAGCGGTCATGTTTGACTACGTTGGAATCCTAAAATCTTTCTCCTTGTCTACACCACACTCAGGCATGACGATCTTTGAAGTCAAGACAGTATCTTGATTCATCAGTAAATGGTACTGAAGCCCAGTCCTGGTCTGTCCACTTGAGGTGATCTTCAGCCCAGTCCAAATGTGCCTGCCTGTCTGATACATTCCCTCCGTTACTGGCGTTATGCAGGTCATTTCTGAGTGTGGTGGCAGACACAAAATGATGATGTCTTGCTGCAATCAGGAGACAACTGTCTTCCCGCTGTGTGGTGGTACGCTGTCTACCGCCTGCAAGTCCCCGATGCAAACATCTGGTATTGATTCCATGTATCTGCCTAAATCTTCGTTCCTCAAACGACGTCTTTGACGTGGAGTGAGCATAAGTGCATTCAGTTGTTGCAATCCTCAGTAGCAAATGTTGGTGTGCTCTCTGATGATGATGTGCAACGATTCTGTCATGATACCTCAAAACATAGGGTTTTCAAGCACCTTATGCACATGAATGCATGCCTCTGTCCGTTCATCATGAAATTGAGGTCTTACAGGGGTTACCCAATCACTGTAACCGGGGTATTTAAATCTTTATTTGTTGGATGATTTTTTGATATCATCAAAACTTGATCCTTAGCAAACTTTTTGTAGTATAGATCCTTATTAGGCATAGCAGCAATCAGTAACAGCAGTCAAAAATCAACAGCTGAGTGAGTGGTACATTATTTAGTCAGTCTACTTGACAAAAGCAACAAAGTGCCACTTTCATCTCAAGCTTGTTAATTGCCTGCTTTGATGTTTTGTTTGTTTGTTTGTTGTTTAACGCTGCACTCAGCAATATTCCAGCTGTATGATGGCAGTCTGTAAATAATCGAGTCTGGACCAGATAATCCAGGGTTTAACATCATGAGCGGCAATTGGGATATGATGACATGAATCAAAACCAAGTCAGCGAGCCTGACCACCCGATCCCATTAGTTGCCCTTTACGACAAGCATAGTCGCCTTTTACGGCAAGCATGGGTTGCTGAAGACCTATTCTACCCCACCTGCTTTGATAAGCACTTTTTGATGTACTAGTAACCAGGAAGTTACTTCGATGTTGGGGGTAAAAGGAAAGGTGATACATATCCACGTATCAAGGAGAATTCCTCCACGCTATGTGAGATGCTTGTTTGTGCTTCTCAAAACTGTTAATGTGGCAAACTTTGAGATACATGTACAGAGTTCAAGATAGTCGAAGATAACGCTTTGTTTTATCCTGAAATTACATAAATGGACAAATATATAGTTATTGAGGTAGCTTAAAGCTATACTAACATACTCATTCACTAACATACCTGTCACATAAAAGGGTTTCACAAATTCATTCACAAGTTGATATAACATATCATTTGGAGTTGTTTTGAACAAGAATGGTCTTCTTTCTAGAAACTTGGAATGGGCAACTTGAAGATTCTGTACAATGATGACCTGAATGGAAACCAGATTGACATGGAGACAGATGACAAACAAAAAGTCTGCAACCATGTCATTTGTCGCGAACACTCAATAAAACTGTAAGTCAGATAAAAATACTTCACCTTGAAAATATATCCGCAGAATAATGACAGTAAAAAATGTGTGACTGCGTGTCTGGGCTTATGTCGGGGCCCGTATAGCTAGCCCATGGAGATACCATGCCACAGTTTAACATGGATACCCCACTCACACACAGTATGCTGACCAGTCCTTGTTTTATCTTAATGCCGACCATCAGACATGGTAACGAGTAGAACAACCGTTTAACGTCTTTAAGTATGACGAGGCCAGGGATTCAACCACGACTTTCCACTTTTCGGACAGAATCACTACCCACTAGACCACAGAGGCGGTTGAAAAGGGGATTAGGAGGGGAAACGTCAAATGAGTGTATGTACAGTATTTGGGAATTCTCCTTTCTGCTGAGAAGATTATGGCAACTCCTACACTTTAACAGTCAAGTTGCTAAAACCCTTAGCATCTTTAGGTTTGGCTAGATACCTACACTATTGATGTTATGTGACTCACCTGTGAAACGTCACCGATATTGCACACCTGATGTCATCCCTCTATGATTGTTTATATTTCCAGAGAGAATCAGAAGAGAGCCTGTATGTGGAGTGCCCAAGACTTCTCAACAGACGAGCCAGTCAGGAGGGACTTTAAGGCAGCTTTCAGCTCAGTAGCTGCTGCAGAGGAGTTTGCTAAATCTTTTATGGAGGTAAGACATGCTTGTTGTAGTTCAAAATATCTTACCCATTCCCATTGCTAGCTCACCTAACTGAAAGTCCACCCACTTTAGTTGTGGGATCAAAGAAATATGTCCCGGGTTTTTTGGGGTGATATGTTGAACCTTGACCTTATTTAACCTTTGCACTTCGTCCACACAGAAAGCTGAAACGTTTTGTGGCCATTACTCAGCCATATCTGTTCAAAAGACAACAAAATTTGATCAATGTGTATTTAGTGGAGGGGCTTGACACATATGTTCTCTTTTAGGCAATATTTTACATTTTACCTTGATTTGACAGTTCTTAAAATCTCTCAAAGGCATATTTGCTCTGTAAATTCCTCCTTTGAAATTGAAAGACTGAGGAAGCTGAACTTCGACATGGACACATATTTTAAGTGCCTGACTTTGTTGACATATACTTTTGACTACATATTCAGGTGAGGTACAGTGCTCATGACAGCAGTTTCTTTGAAATTGACATTACTGATTATGAATAGCTTTATGTGTGAGATTTAAAATGAATTGATGATTGGAAGTGTATATAAATGTATATATGTATGAACTTTATGGATGCAGAAGAACATTAATGTGTGTTTAGACTGAATATATTTTAGACCTCTGAAGATCTGGAGTAGAATAGGTCTTTTGCAACTTATGCTTGCCGTAAAAGGTGACTAACGGGATTGGGTGGTCTGGCTCGCTGACTTGGTTGATGCATATCATCATAATCCAGTTGAATGAATCGATGCTCATGATGTCGGTTTATGGATTGTCTGGTCGCCGTCATATAACTGGAATATTGCTGAGTGCGACGTTAAACAACCAAGAAACAAACAAGCAAACAAATGTATATCTTAAATTATATAGGT